CAAACTTCTTGGGGTTAGATCCACAGAGAGAGAACTGCTCCTTAAAGTAACTAACTTTGGCCTTACGGATAGCCTGAGTGCACTTATTTCTCATTTGCCTGAACGAGAGCCAGTCAGCCTGAGTATGCGTGTCTTGAGGTGGAGTAACTCTGCCCGATCACAGTCGAACCAGGGACTAAACATGTTTTTAATTATCTTTTTGTTTATGGGGGCGTGTTTGTTAACAATGCCACTGAAAACATAAAAAGAGAAGATTCAAGCGTCTTCGACAGAGGGGATCAAGCTGATTCTATACCAATTTAAAGAGGCCAGGTCATGAAGGAAGGCTTGCTCATTAAAGTTTTTTAGCAAGCGTCTATGACCAATCAGGACCGTGATCACTAAGGTCATTACAGAAAACACCAGATTGATACCTATCAGGATTATTTGTGAGGATAACATCAAGGAGAGTTTCTGGGTGTTTGGAGTCATACCAAACACCCATTGGATTGGTAATAGTCTGAGAAGGATTTAGGGAGTCCCATTGCTTTAGGACTTGGTCAGTTGGTTTAAGCATGTCCCAGTTTAGGTCACCTAGCAGAACAAATTCAGACTTTGTGTAAGGGGCTAGGAGAGAGCTTAGGGCAGGTAGTGTACAGGTAGGTGCCGATGGTGGATGATAACACCCAGCAACAGTCAACAAAGAGCTATTTGAAAGTTTCATGCTTAAAACCAGCAAATCAAATTGTTTGGGGTCGGACTTGGTGGAGACAACCGAGCACTGAAGGTGTTCCTTGGTAAAGATTGCCACTCCACCACCTTTGGAAGATCTGTCTTGCCGAAAAAGGTTAGAACCAGAAAGTTTAAGATTTAGTGTTCAAAACCTTCTTTCTTAACCACATCTCAGTAATGACCAACACATACGGATTGGAGCTGTGAACCCACACTTTCAATTGATCAATTTTAGGTAATAAGCTTCTAGTGTTAACGTGCAGAAAACCCAGGCTTTTATGAGAGCAGAAATCAGTGAAACAGATATCAGAGCACAAGTCAGAATTGGGGCTAGCAACAGTAGATGGGCCAGGGTGTACATGCACATTTCCAGATATCATCAGCAGTAATGCAATCAGGGCACGGCCGAGGACAGGGAGAGCTGTGCAGTGTTTGATTTTTTAAAATGACATTTGAATGTGCATCGGATGGCAACAAGATCATATTGTACAGCAATTTCATCAGGTAACATGAATACATGTTACCAGGATAAGCCTCTGGTGTAGCTGGATATACAGCATCTCACAAAAGTGAGTACACCCCTCACATTTTTGTAAATATTTGAGTATATCTTTTCATGTGACAACACTGAAGAAATGACACTTTGCTACAATGTAAAGTAGTGAGTGTACAGCTTGTATAACAGTGTAAATTTGCTGTCCCCTCAAAATAACACAACACACAGCCATTAATGTCTAAACCGCTGGCAACAAAAGTGAGTACACCCCTAAGTGAAAATGTCCAAATTGGGCCCAAAGTGTCAATATTTTGTGTGGCCACCATCATTTTCCAGCACTGCCTTAACCCTCTTGGGCATGGAGTTCACCAGAGCTTCACAGGTTGCCACTGGAGTCCTCTTCCACTCCTCCATGATGACATCACGGAGCTGGTGGATGTTAGAGACCTTGCACTCCTCCACCTTCCGTTTGAGGATGCGCCACAGATGCTCAATAGGGTTTAGGTCTGGAGACATGCTTGGCCAGTCCATCACCTTTACCCTCAGCTTCTTTAGCAAGGCAGTGGTCGTCTTGGAGGTGTGTTTGGGGTCGTTATCATGTTGGAATACTGCCCTGCGGCCCAGTCTCCGAAGGGAGGGGATCATGCTCTGCTTCAGTATGTCACAGTACATGTTGGCATTCATGGTTCCCTCAATGAACTGTAGCTCCCCAGTGCCGGCAGCACTCATGCAGCCCCAGACCATGACATTCCCACCACCATGCTTGACTGTAGGTAAGACACACTTGTCTTTGTACTCCTCACCTGGTTGCCGCCACAAACGCTTGACACCATCTGAACCAAATACGTTTATCTTGGTCTCATCAGACCACAGGACATGGTTCCAGTAATCCATGTCCTTAGTCTGCTTGTCTTTAGCAAACTGTTTGCGGGCTTTCTTGTGCATCATCTTTAGAAGAGGCTTCCTTCTGGGACGACAGCCATGCAGACCAATTTGATGCAGTGTGCGGCCTGAGCACTGACAGGCTGACCCCCCACCCCTTCAACCTCTGCAGCAATGCTGGCAGCACTCATACCAGCACCTCTGGATATGACGCTGAGCACGTGCACTCAACTTCTTTGGTCGACCATGGCAAGGCCTGTTCTGAGTGGAACCTGTCCTGTTAAACCGCTGTATGGTCTTGGCCACCGTGCTGCAGCTCAGTTTCAGGGTCTTGGCAATCTTCTTATAGCCCAGGCCATCTTTATGTAGAGCAACAATTCTTTTTTTCAGATCCTCAGAGAGTTCTTTGCCATGAGGTGCCATGGTGAACTTCCAGTGACCAGTATGAGGGAGTGTTTTAACACACCTGCTCCCCATTCACACCTGAGACCTTGTAACACTAACGAGTCACATGACACCGGGGAGGGAAAATGGCTAATTGGGCCCAATTTGGACATTTTCACTTAGGGGTGTACTCAATTTGTTGCCAGCGGTTTAGACATTAATGGCTGTGTGTTGAGTTATTTTGAGGGGACAGCAAATTTACACTGTTATACAAGCGGTACACTCACTACTTTACATTGTAGCAAAGTGTCATTTCTTCAGTGTTGTCACATGAAAAGATATACTCAAATATTTACAAAAATGTGAGGGGTGTACTCACTTTTGTGAGATACTGTATAGTCCTGCATGAGGACAAAACATTCCTCCACAACGGGTCACTTCATCTCACCACGTCACGCCACTATTCCCTACTGTGTGTGTGTGTTAGTTTGGTTGTGTGTGTGTGCGGTTGTAGGATTGTGTTTGTGTGTGAATGCAGGAAGTAAGCCTTTAGCCTATACAGAATCCTGTTGTTTTGGTGAGGGCCACTATATGTCTGTGTCTGTATCCTGATCTCTCTGGGTTCTATCATAATGGGACTCAGTCTTTGCATCTGGGTCTTTGACTGTCACTTTCTCTCTTTGTGTGTCTTGTCTGTCTTTGCAACTGTGCCCTGCATGGCTGTGCCACCGCTATGCCCTGCAGTTGTGGAGAGGGAGTGTGAATGGGGAGAGGTGGTGGAGAAAGGGGGCATTGTGTATGGTGACCCACGCCCTTCCCCCCCCCGTCCTGCCCCCGCTGGCCCCAGCTTGGATCCTGGTGTGGTTAGGACTAGGAGCAGGCCTGCCCTCTGTGTACTCAGGAACCAGTGAAATGCCTTGACTTGAGCCAGCTTCCTTTTTGGAGAAAAAAAACCTGGCCAGGAGCCAGGAGGGTGCAGGAGGAGACAGCCAGCCAAGCAACAGCCTAGCAACAGCAGCTGGGCTTGACCCTGCCTCTCCACCCCCCGCCCAGACCTCACTTTCTCTGCCCTCTTTCTCCCTGCTGCTCCTTTCACTCTAACGTCCTACTCTGGCCTTGCGTACACTCGCTCTCTCTCTCTAACACCATGTTTAACTCCCTCTATTGTCATTACCACTCTGTTTTATCACTCTCTACCTTGTCCTTTCCTTCTCTCTGTCTTCTCTGTTTCTCTACTCACCCTGTCACAGCTCACTCAGACGTAGCACTCTGGCATGATAAGATGGACAGCAATACGGGGCCAGAGCAAAGCTCAGCCTGATTCAAGTTGTCTCTGAGTAGAAAGTAGTCGAAAACCACCCGTGAATTGTTAACAACCTCACAAGTCCATTGGCTTGCGCAAGCGGAGAAATTAAAAACGTCATATTCCATCGTAAAACACAAGTCATGAAAACTTCAGAAGACACTCTGGAGATGCAGCTGGATGTTTTTACAGATGTCTTTGAATGTATATAAATGTACTGATTGTGTGTGAAAAAAATGTTTCTTGATGGTGTATTTGTTTGTGCTTATAGACATTTGTTTTTATTTGTCCATGTGGATGTAATGTACGTCTGTGGTTATTCTGTTTGTGACCGTATTTGTACATGAATATAAATGTGTTTGTGTCCATGTCTTGTGTTTACCAGAGAACTTTGGCAAGGAGTATTTGATTCTGTTCTATATGCATGTACATTTATCTGTGTATCTTTGTGTCTCTGTCTGTGTGGGAAATTGATGTGTCGTCCTTTTATTTGTATGTGTGCATATTAGCCTGTCCATTTGTTATTGTATAAGTAAGTGCATATAGTTTTGTGGGCACTCTGTCTTTTAAGAAGTCAACGTTAGGATGGGAAGCTGGAGTCTAATTTAGAAGAGCTGCCCTCTCCCTCTCCCTCTCCCTATCTCTCCCTCTCCCTCTCCCTCTCCCTATCTCTCCCTCTCCCTATCTATCTCTCTCTCCCTCTCCCTCTCCCTCTCCCTATCTATCTCCCTATCTCTCTCTCTCTCTCTCTCTCTCTCTCTCTCTCTCTCTCTCTCTCTCTCTCTCTCTCTCTCTCTCTCTCTCTCTCTCTCTCTCTCCTCTCTCTCTCTCTCTCTCTCTCTCTCTCTCTCTCTTCCCCTCCTTCCTCCCTCTCTCTCTCCTGGCAGTGCCAATACCACTCTGACTGCCCTGGAACAGAGATAGAGGAAGGCCGGACCAAATAAACAAACTGCTGGATATCCCCCTGAAGTGGCTGGCGCAGACATCCTTGTGACTCAGAGAATTATGTTGCGGGGACAGATAGCTGAGGTGTGTGTGTGTGTAGTGCAAGCATGTGTCAGGCTGTGAAATGGAATCACGCCTCACCACAGGAGTGCGTTTGTGTGTGTGTGTCTGTATGTGCAGGATGCATCTGCAGGACTACACATTGTCTCTTCTAGCATGAGTTGAAGGCCCCTGTATTTCTGAGTCTGGGCAGGAGAGAAACACTGTCAATACTCATAAATGACTCTGAACCCTACCAGTCGCTTTGAGCCCAAGTGGCCCAATACTGTGGCTCTCATTATTTTGCTTCTTCAAGACAGTTTATTAGGTTCACGAAAATTGATCGCTCCTACAGACAGTGAGTCACGTGGCCGTGGCTTGCTATATAAAGCAGGCAGACAGGCATCGAGGCATTCAGTTACTGTTTGATTGAACGTTAGAATGGGCAAAACGAGTGACCTAAGCGACTTTGAGCGTGGTATGATCGTTGGTGAAACTGACGCCCTCCTAGGCTTTTCATGCACGACAGTGTCTAGGGTTTACCGAGAATGATACGACAAATAAAAAACATCCAGTCGGCGGCAGTCCTGTGGGCGAAAACAGCTTGTTGATTAGAGGTCGAAGGAGAATAGCAAGAATCATGCAAGCTAACAGGCGTGCCACAAACTGACAAATAACGGCGCAGTTCAACCAACAGTGGTGTGCAGAACGGCATCTAGGAATGCACAACTCGTCAATCCTTGTCACAGATTGGCTATGGCAGCAGACAACCACACCGGGTTCCACTGCTATCAGCTAAAAACAAGAAGAAGCGGCTCCAGTGGGCAGGCGATCACCAACACTGGACAATTGAGGAGTGGGAAAAACATTGCCTGGAACATGACAGAGAGTTCAGTTCACTTGAATGGCCTGCGCAGTCCCCAGACCTCAACCCAATAGAGCATCTTTGGGATGAGATGGAATGGGCTGTTCGCAGCATGAATGTACCGCCGTCCAATCTGCAGCAACTGCGTGATGCCATTGCGTCAGCATGGACCAACATCCCTGTGGAATGTTTTTTACACCTTGTAGAATTCCCCGAAGAATTCCGGCTGTTCTGCAGGCAAAGGGGGGTCCGACCCGGTACTAGATGGGTGTACCTAATAAAGTGTATATTGTACATCAACCAAACTCATTATAGCTTGGTTTGTAGTCAATTACACAGGCCTAGTACCTATAGAACCTCAAAGTCTCAAGGCTCAGGTTTTAAGGTGTGACTACTGACTAAAAGAAGTAGGCTAAGCAAGAAGATACTGAACTTGTCAAATTAATTCATTGGCGTGCACATTTAGGGTGTTAACTCCAGATTCTTTGAATTAGATTCCGGTTTGGCTCTCAGCTGGATGTCCTCTGTTGGGTGTATACGTCTTCACATTTGCTGCAAAAAAAGATGCTCAGCTTTTGTATTGGGTACTGATAAATGAATGGCATTACAATGGATTTATACACTGAGTATACCAAATATTAGGAACACCTTCCTAATATTGAGTTGCACCCCCTCCTTTTTCCCTCCGAACAGCCTCAATTCGTCAGGCCATGGACTCTACAAGGTGACTCCAATGCTTCCCACAATTGTGTCAAGTTGGCTGGATGTCCTTTGGGTTGTGGATCATTCTTGATACACACAGGAAACTGTTGAGCATGAAAAACCCAGCAGTGTTGCAGTTCTTGACACAAACCGGTGCGCCTGGCACCTACCACCATACCCCGTTCAAAGGCACTTAAATATTTTGTCTTGCCCATTCACCCTCTGAATGACACACATACACAATCCATGTCTCAATTGTCTTTCACCTAGATTCACCTGGTGAATGTTTTGTATACTCAGTGTATGCATGTTTCAACACAATTTCCCTAGGTCATAGCAAATATAGTACGCTGCTCTTCGTGCCTCTCAAACTAAGCTATTGCAGTCTTAAAATACCTGGGAGACCTGGTAGTAAGGTTATACTGGAGGGTCTGACTGATGCCTGTTGATGGGTAGATAGATGGCTGTGTGGATACCTTTACTGGAGGTGTACATCCCCAGAAAGATCTGTGGGAGCTGGGACTGGGGTCAGAGGTTCTGGGCTGGGTTTGACTGGGCTTGCTGGGCTTGATTTGACTGGAATGGGCTGGGCTGGGCCGGCTACTGAAAGAGGCCTCTATTGTTTAGCGAGGTGCTGAGAGGCCCGGACAGCCTGTTCTCCCCTCTTCCTCCGGAAGATGATGTCAGAGGAACAAACCCTCAGACAGGGTGATGTTATGCAACCCCCCCTACCCACAAGCTCTCGATTAAGTTCACTAACACAAGGTCACAGAAGGAGTGGGGGTCTGGGGTGTTGAAACAGTGCCCCTGTTGGCTGACTTTGACTCTGGGATGGCTTCCCATAAGGCTGTCTGCCTGTTGTGCTCTTTTCTCCTGCACATGTTCTTTCTTTCTCTCTCTCTCCCCCTCTCTCTCTCCTCTTTCTTTCTCAATCTCTGCTGTCTCGCTCTGTCCTCTTTTTTCTTTCTCTCTCCTCTCTTTCACTCTCTCTGCACAATAGCCTTTCCAGAGTGAAGAAGCAGAATGCTACGCTCTTCCTCCAGCGGGGGGGGTGTCTAATCTTGTCATCACTGGGAGACGTAAAGGCTAAGCCCGTTTACTGTAGTGCTGCAGGCCTTTTCATTGGCCCTTGGAAGCACACAGCTCACTCCTCATTGGCTGGACACTTGTCTGTCACAGAGACCCTTTGTTAACCCCTGCTCAGCCAAGCCCCCCTCAGACAAGGTGTCATTGGTCAGTGTGTCAGAACACTGGTCATGTTCGTAGATAATGTGTCAGGGACACTTAGCCTGAACTTAAGCCCCTTGACCCCACTGTTGTTGACCACGGCAGTCTTGTAATGCTTGTTGCTGTGAGAATCTAGAACCACGTGTCAAAATCTTTCCATGGAGGGCCGAGTGTCTGCAGGTTTTCGCTCTTCCCTTGTACTTGATTGATGAATTAAGGTCACTAATTAGTAAGGAACTCACCTCACCTGGTGGTCTAAGGCTTAATTGAAAGGAAAAATCTAAACCAGCAGACACTAGGCCCTCCATGGAATGAGTTTGACACCCCTGATCTAAACAGTAGTCATTTTCACTTCTTGGAGTCCAGAGGGACAGTTGAAAAGCAAAACCTCCCATTTTGTTAAATAAATCCAACACAGCCTGTCATGTGCTGTTCAGATTGATGGTCCAATTTACTTGACAGTTAGTACACTCAGCCATTTCCTGACCGAAACGTTCCCCTGCCACTAGGAAGGAAATAGGCCACATCATCATGTCTCAAGCCCTCATACAAAAACAATGACCTTGTACAATGACTATCTATCTAAGACTAAATCTATCGAAAATAGGAGAGAAAGTAGCACAAGCACACAGCATTAGAGACAGCATGGTAGATGGATGGACGGACGGTGATGTGTATGACGAGGAAGGAAGGAAAGATGGGAGCTCCAGGGAATAACTGCTCACATAGGAAAAGAGATGGTTGTTTGTTTGGGAAACTGTTTCTGTCAGTGAGAGTAAATAGGAAGGAAGCGATCTCAGTGGGACACGGCTAGAGAGGTCAGACTTCAATGGAATGCACCCAGTGGAATGCAAGGCATCAGAATGTGTCCCAAGTGGCACCCTATTCCTTTTATAGTGCACTAGGGCTCCATAGGGCCCTGAACAAAAGTAGCACACCATAAAGGGAATAGGGTGCGATTTGGGACGCAGCTCTACATCCTCTGTTGTTGACATTGGTGCACATCAAACATCTGACCATGTACTCAGGATTGACTTGGTCACAGTATCATAGTAATTTGGGGATTACAGTTGTTCTTTTTTAAAACTCATTCCTGATCCTTTGGTTAGCCTCTCCATTTTATCATTCACGCTGTCAGTGTGCAGTTATTTGTTTTATACATCCATTTCTCTTGCGTGTGGGCGTCCTTGTTGTTGGTGGTGTTTGTGTGTGCGTGTGGGCGTCCTTGTTGTTGGTGGTGTTTGTGTGTGCGTGTGGGCGTCCTTGTTGTTGGTGGTGTTTGTGTGTGCGTGTGGGCGTCCTTGTTGTTGGTGGTGTTTGTGTGTGCGTGTGACCATGTATGGTGTCTGCTTGTTGTTGTAATTCAGCGTACGTGGCAGTGTAGTCTGTGACCCAGTGCTCTGAGGGTAAAGTGCCCACTGCCTCCTGTCTAATCCGACAGGTCATTATCAATAAAACCTAACAATAGTGTTGGATTTTGCTGCTGGGGGGCAAGGAGACCTCCAGCTCCGCTAAAACCATTGACAACTACATGCCGTTTTCAAGGCTTGTTAAATAAATGTTATAACTATTTGGTTTGAATATCATCACCTCTTGACGAGCATAGTCTGAACTACACATTTCCAATTATTCAACATTTTGCTCCATCGTCAGAGTTTTACAGCATTCGGTAAACATAAATGGATCATGTATTTGCAGATACGTGAGTGTAGCCAGATCAATTTAACATGTAGCTAGCTAAAGCAAACAACGTGTCATTTAGCTTGCTTCATCAGAGATTAGGCATCAGCGCTAGACATCATCCTGGTGAAATTGCCAGTCGGACTACTGTCCTCACCGCTATAGATGGCAAGCATATCAAACAATATTTGGATATAGCCATCTAGTTTATCCCCTGAAAGTTAGCTTGTTAACTAGCCATATTGACGTGATCTGTTATGTAGCCTATCATGTCTGTCACTCTTAAAAACAATGTTGAAAAGGGGATAATGTTAGCCAACTTCACTAGGTAGGCCTACGGTACCAATCAAAAGTTTGGACACACCTACTCATTCCAGGGTTTTCTTAATTTTTTACTATTTTTTACATTGTAGAATAATAGTGAAGACATCAAAACTATGAAATAACACATATGGAATCATGTAGTAACCAAAAAAGTGTTAAACAAATCTACTACTAATACTTTGAAGAATCTCAAATATAAGGCAAATCAAACATTCTGCACCTTATTGTGACGTTTTATTGATTACGATCTATTATAAACAGTTCTTCTGTCTCTTGTTGTTACGTGTCTCTAATCCTAAATGCAATACAACAGCATCAGTCAGTGTTGTTGATCAGATGATGGCGCTACAGCAGATGTTGTTGATCAGATGATGGTGCTACAGCAGATGTTGTTGATCAGAGGATGGTGCTACAGCAGATGTTAATCAGAGGAGGGTGCTACAGCAGATGTTGTTGATCAAAGGATGGTGCTACAGCAGATGTTGTTAATCAGAGGATGGTGCTACAGCAGATGTTGTTGATCAGATGATGGTGCTACAGCAGATGTGTTGTTGACGGCTGCTTGACCACACTGCCCCTGACTCTTAGCTGTGTGGTAGTCATAAGAGTACTCGCAGTGAAGCGGTTACCATGACAAACCATCATGGGACGGCCTCCTCCACAGGCTTTAGCCGGAGGTGAAGAGCTCTGTTATACAGTGCCTTGCAAAAGTATTCATCCCCCTTGGCGTTTTTCCTATTTTGTTGCATTACAACCTGTAATTTAAATGGATTTTTATTTGGATTTCATGTAATAGACATACACAAAATAGTCCAAATTGGTGAAGTGAAATGAAAAAAATAACTTGTTTCAAAGAATTCTAAAAAATTAATAATGGAAAAGTGGTGTGTGCATAAGTATTCACCCCCTTTGCTATGAAGCCCCTAAATAAGATCTGGTGCAACCAATTACCTTCAGAAGTCACATACAGTGGGGGAAAAAAGTATTTAGTCAGCCACCAATTGTGCATGTTCTCCCACTTAAAAAGATGAGAGATGCCTGTAATTTTCATCATAGGTACACGTCAACTATGACAGACAAAATGAGAAAAAAAATCCAGAAAATCACATTGTAGGATTTTTTATGAATTTATTTGCAAATTATGGTGGAAAATAAGTATTTGGTCAATAACAAAAGTTTCTCAATACTTTGTTATATGCCCTTTGTTGGCAATGACACAGGTCAAACGTTTTCTGTAAGTCTTCACAAGGTTTTCACACACTGTTGCTGGTATTTTGGCCCATTCCTCCATGCAGATCTCCTCTGCATGGAGGGGGTTTTGGGGCTGTCGCTGGGCAACACGGACTTTCAACTCCCTCCAAAGATTTTCTATGGGGTTGAGATCTGGAGACTGGCTAGGCCACTCCAGGACCTTGAAATGCTTCTTACGAAGCCACTCCTTCTTTGCCCGGGCGGTGTGTTTGGGATCATTGTCATGCTGAAAGACCCAGCCACGTTTCATCTTCAATGGCCTTGCTGATGGAAGGAGGTTTTCACTCAAAATCTCACGATACATGGCCCCATTCATTCTTTCCTTTACACGGATCAGTCGTCCTGGTCCCTTTGCAGAAAAACAGCCCCAAAGCATGATGTTTCTACCCCCATGCTTCACAGTAGGTATGGTGTTCTTTGGATGCAACTCAGCATTCTTTGTCCTCCAAACACGACGAGTTGAGTTTTTACCAAAAAGTTATATTTTGGTTTCATCTGACCATATGACATTCTCCCAATCCTCTTCTGGATCATCCAAATGCACTCTAGCAAACTTCAGACGGGCCTGGACATGTACTGGCTTAAGCAGGGGGACACGTCTGGCACTGCAGGATTTGAGTCCCTGGCGGCGTAGTGCGTTACTGATGGTAGGCTTTGTTACTTTGGTCCCAGCTCTCTGCAGGTCATTCACTAGGTCCCCCCGTGTGGTTCTGGGATTTTTGCTCACCGTTCTTGTGATCATTTTGACCCCACGGGGTGAGATCTTGCGTGGAGCCACAGATCGAGGGAGATTATCATTGGTCTTGTATGTCTTCCATTTCCTAATAATTGCTCCCACAGTTGATTTCTTCAAACCAAGCTGCTTACCTATTGCAGATTCAGTCTTCCCAGCCTGGTGCAGGTCTACAATTTTGTTTCTGGTGTCCTTTGACAGCTCTTTGGTCTTGGCCATAGTGGAGTTTGGAGTGTGACTGTTTGAGGTTGTGGACAGGTGTCTTTTATACTGATAACAAGTTCAAACAGGTGCCATTAATACAGGTAACGAGTGGAGGACAGAGGAGCCTCTTAAAGAAGAAGTTACAGGTCTGTGAGAGCCAGAAATCTTGCTTGTTTGTAGGTGACCAAATACTTATTTTCCACCATAATTTGCTAATAAATTCATTAAAAATCCTACAATGTGATTTTCTGGATGTTTTTCTCTCAATTTGTCTGTCATAGTTGATGTGTACCTATGATGAAAATTACAGGCCTCTCTCATCTTTTTAAGTGGGAGAACTTGCACAATTGGTGGCTGACTAAATACTTTTTTCCCACACTGTATTCGTCGCCAAACCCACTGGCTCCAGGCCATCTATATATCACTGCTAGGCAAATCCCTGCCTTATCTTAGCTCATTGGTCAACATAGCAACACCCACCCGCAGTATGCGCTCCAGCAGGTATATCTCACTGGTCATCCCCAAAGCCAATACCTCCTTTGGCTGCCATTCCTTCCAGTTCTCTGCTGCCAATGACTGGAACGAACTGCAAAAATCTCTGAAGCTTGTGATATTAGTTTTTGTTAATATCGCCCACCCCTAAGTGGTACTCAGTGATGTTGTGTTGGATTTGCCCCAAACATAAGGCTTTGTATTCAGGACAAAAAGTTAATTTGTTTGCTGCATTTTTTGCTGTTTTACGTGCGTTTTGCAAACAGGATGCCTGTTTTGGAATATTTGTATTCTGTACAGGCTTCCTTCTTTTCACTCTGCCATTTAAGTTAGTATTGTAGAGTAAATACAATGTTGTTGATCCATCCTCAGTTTTTTTCATATCACAACCATTAAACTCTGTAACTGTTTTAAAATCACCATTGGCCTCATGGTGAAATCCCTGAGCAGTTTCCTTCCTTTCCGGCAACTGAGTTAGGAAGGACGCCTGTATCTTTGTAGTGACTGGGTGTATTGATACGCCATCCAAAGCCTAATTAATGACTTCACCATGCTCAAATGGATATTCAGCGTCTGCTTTTTTTATTTGTACACATTTACCAGTCGGTGCCATTCTTTGCAAGGCATTGAAAAACCTCCCTGGTCTTTGTGGTTGAAAGGTGTTTGAAATGTACTACTCAACTGAGGGACCTTACATATAATTGTGTGTGTGTGGGGGGGGTACATGTTAACCAATAATTATTGAACACTGAATGAGTCCATGCGACTTATAATGCGAGTTGTTAAGCACATTTTTATTCCTGAGCTTATTTATGCTTTTCAGCTTTACATTTTTTATTAATACAAAAAAAGAAATATACAAAAAAACAATCCACTATGACTATATGGGGTATTGTGTGTAGATCAATTACACAAAATATCAGTTTAATCAATTTTAAATTCAGGCTGTAAATCAACAAAATGTGGAAAAGGTAAAGGTTTGTGAATACTTTCTGAATGCACAGTAGGTAGGCTATAATGCATCATTATGCAGTTATAATCAATGAATTGTCATTAGCATGCCATGTATCACTCTGTCTTATTATCATCTCATAATGATCCTGATAGACATAATATAGCCTTATACTGTATAAGCCATTTAATGTATGCTCATAACAAGTTATAACACATTATACCTGCAGTACCTATAAAGTATTAACAATCTGCTTTATGCTTCCTGACTGATCCAGCAGTTATCCAGGTACGCCTTCAGAAACATTGCTAGTTGAATGCTAATATCTTATATTTGGCAGAGCATGCAGTCAGGGGTATTTGAAGCCCATTTGTTCTCACTGTTAATTCAGTTTCCTCCACTCTCTTTTCCATCACCTAGGCCGCAAAACGCTTTCATCCATCACCGGCTGACAGCGTGATGCGCATCAGCGCACACCAACTTCCCAGCGCACCCACAGGGCCATGCAATCTACCCATAGACAGGGAACATGGGCCAAGGAACGGCTAATGTTTTACTTCTGGAGTAGGCTTGGGATAAATATACTGATTTATTTGACAAATTATAATATAATATATTTTAGGAACTCAGTTGGGGTCTCAAGTTACTGTTGAGAGTAAGAATAGTAAAATACACCAGGTGAAATTTCAGAATTTGGTTGTGCATCAGCAGTTTTTCTCTTATGTCAGTCACTCAATTAGCTGACAATTAGCCATGTCAATTTTTCTATTGGTAGTTAGTCTAGCCAGCTATCTAAACTTGCAGTAATCATGTCCGAATACCGACTGGGCACGCAGGGCACGTGCCCAGGGGCCCTGACCTCCAGGGGGGCCCCATTTTGATTTTGTTAGTCATTCTCACTCCGATATCATATTAACATGGTGGAAGTCTTGGCAAAATGTGTAGAATTGTAGGAATTTAGCTTTAAAGGTTCCCACCAGAGGGCAATGCCGCCCCTATTTCGACGTAATTCCTGTCCTATAGCAGAAATTGTCATTTAGGTTCCACCTCTGAAGAATGACGCAGGCTGCTAATGCATATTCATGAATCGGGGGTGGGAACAAGTGGAGAAATAACAACAAGTAGGGTACTGACAGCTGACAGTGTAGCTATCTAGCATGCTAACCTTACCTACATAGCTAGCTAATGTTATCGATTGTTGCTACACTGTATTCAAAAGATTAGCCAAATGGTTGGGCTGGTTCTGGAGCTGGATTTGTAATAAGCATTTAGGAAAAACGCTGCCGTGGATGGATAGGGGAAACCAGTATCTTTGACTTCGCCATCTATTGTTATCTCCAAAATGTTGGCATGTTCCATAAATTGCGACTGTGAATACGCCATAGAAAGAGTGCCTCCCGAGTGGCGCAGTGGTCTAAGGCACTGCATCGCAGTGCTAGCTGTGCCACTAGAAATCCTGGTTTGTATCCAGGCCCTGTCGTAGCCGGCCGCGACCGGCAGACCCATGGGGCGGCGCACAATTGGCCCAGCGTCGTCCAGGGTAGGGGAGGGAATGGCCGCCAGGGATGTAGCTCAGTTTGTAGAGCATGGCGTTTGCAACGCCAGGGTTGTGGGTTCGATTCCCACGGGGGCCAGTATGAATTTTTTTAAAGAATAATGCACTCACTAACAGCAATGCCAAGTCAGCCCGTGCTCATGCCATAGTTCTTACAGCTAGGGGAAGTGAAATGATAGGCTACAGTAACTTTGCTCATGATGCACGCCTCTAATGATATGTAACAACACCCTGAGCACATCGGACACGAAACGAAATACCAATACAAATGTAACAGCACAAAATAGATAATAAACAACTTTGTGGAATTTTCTTTCTTTTTATTATAGTATATACACTTGTGATTTCTAGCTTCACCAATCAAACAGTGGAGCGTGGTCAAAACCATTCATCTTGGGGTGACAGGGGAGCGGGGTTCCAAAATGCAATCATATCACATGAAATTTGACCATTTATGAAATGGTCATATATATATATTTTTTTATAATTGCAGGAGATTTACTTTAAAACGTACATTTTTCTCTCCACCTTCAAGAGAGGGTCCACTAAAAAAATTGTCTGCAAGGGGGGTCCCCCCAACCAAATCTCGCTTAGGGCGCCCAAAAGGCTAGAGCCAGCCATGCATGTCAACAATTAACTATTTGGTATTTTCTTATTGCGCGCAGTATTGAGGCGAAATGTTGTCACAGTCCCTGATTTGAAATACAGATTTGGATAGATGGTAGTCATTTTCATATTTTCCAAACATACTTCAGGTTGATCATTTATTTAAACAGATTGAAGGCAATGACAGTTTCAGACCCTCACACGCACCAACTGTCACACAGAGTCTCCACATGGTAAACTGGCGATGATGTAATCTTGAAACGTATTTGCTTGAGCTATGGAAATTTGGCGAGGATAGAGAAAAGAGGGGGAGGAGGGAGAGATTTAGCAGGGATTTGGCCTACAGTACTGTCGTGGCACAGTAGCCTAGCTGCGGACTCATGCGCTAAGAAAACAATGTACCTTTGCTTTAACACAGGCGATTTGAGTCATACGGGATCTGTCACTATTTCAAAACCACTGTGGAGTCGGACGCACATGCAGTCTATTTGTTTTGGATGTCATTTTCCGTAGTGGGCAGATATAGCAACAGTCAGCAACGGATTTGACAGGCGCGCAACCTTATACTCAAACCTTGCCCACACTCCTGCCTGCTTTCTCGGGTGTGCACAACCGCCTCCTCAGCCGCATCTCCGGATGGTCCTCCCGGCGGCCAGTCTATACCCGCCCAGTGCTGGAGAGCGAGTCGGAGTGGCTAGCCTACTGATGACAGCGCAGAGATGAGCTCGGGCAGATGAACGCCACATTTACTGCTTGTCCTGCGCGAGCCAGGGCTATCCGGTTTTGGTAAACGGACTACAGTGATAAGACAACGCACTGCTACATACAACCTTTCTGAAGATACTTTGATATTCTGTCAATGGATTGATTTATGTCTTGAGGAATCTGAGTTCTGGGTGTGCGGGGTGTTTGGGACATTGCATGTAGGCTATTGCGTAAGCGTGTTGCCCGTTTGGAGACTTGGATAGTGGACATCTTTCAATCATGGCCAGCATGAATACCTCAAAGGATCAGCGGGTAAGTGTGCTGGCTTTACGTTGACCTAAGTAATTAGGCAATTAGTATATGGTTTATATTTTCATAGGTGTTTCTAGAGGAAATGTTGCCATGCTTTGATTTAGAGACTACTTGATCAAGGCTATATATGAATTGTGCGTCCTTCTGCCACAACATCATGACAAGTCTGTCATGACATAAACACGTGACAGGTCCACTTGTAGTAGCTCATTGTACAGCATTGAAAGCACATTGTTAAAAGTCGTGCCATTTTATGGAGACACCCCGTGGCGATTAGTAGATGCGTCTTTAAAAGGCAAGGAGAGCGCATGACATATGCCACCATGACCACGAACGAACGGTTCTTCTCTGTGGTGACATTAAAGGCATGGTAGATCATCCTCTATAAATTGACATTAGTCAAAGACACACACAGTGTTTGGCTATGGCAGCTCTCATCTGGTTGGGTCACAGGGTAGATGGGGTGTGATTTGGGATAGTCTGATGTTCTGTGGGACATTAGGAGACATTGTCTTTTAAGTTCTGAGAACTGGGACAATGCAGCCACTGTGCTTTTTAATGACGTTTCAGTCATCAATGCATTTCCGGACTGTGGAGAGCTTCTGTAGATGCCTTGCGCTTCCGCCAGAGGCTAGTAGCAGTGGCCGAATCTCTGTCCATTTCTCTTGTACCACACTGACTTTGATAAAGGACAAGCTAATCTGTATTTGAACCTGTCTTGTCATATACAATCTCAATGTCAACTTGTGTTGTTCTATGAGCTGCTAGGTTGTCTGGGCTCCAGGCACATGCCAGTATCACTGGAGCGCTGCAGCAGCATACAGAGGTTTGTGAGCTTGTTGGGATGTAACCGCTCTTATGAGGACTGTCTAGGACTCCTTCCTGTCGTGTGTGTGCGCGCATATGTGTTGCCTATACGGATGCATTGTAGTCTAATATGGGAAAGGTCACTTGCGTTCTGACACAGCGACTGCGACAGCCAGTCTGCTCTTTTCATCTTTTAATTCTAGGAATCTCTCTACATCTCCATTCCCTGTCATTACTAATCTCAGAGACAGACAGACTCTTATCATTAAATCTAAAAAGGTCATCATGCTAGTTTCAGTAGAGATCTCTTTTTGTGTTAGTGTAATGAGAGGCCTACAGTCTGTGTACATGTACTCTGCTTTCCACAATCAATGTAGTCACTGCAGAGAAGCAGAATGCAGTAGCATCCTCTCTCTCTCTTCTCTTCTCTCTTCGCTTCTCTACCTTAACGTCCCGATCCAATGCATGCGACGCGAGAAGGACGGCGAGAGAGAAGAGGAAGGGAGAGATGAGAGGAGAGAGAGAAGGGGAGAGTCGAGTCGAGAGGGAGAGTAGCTAGCGATAATCGATAGAGATAGATCTCTCTTCTCTATAATCTCTCTCTCCTCTCATCTCTCCTCCTCTCTCTCTCTTCTTCTCTATCTCTCTGCTCTCTCTACTCTCTCTCTCTCTCTCTTCTCTCTCTCTCTCTCTCTCTCTCTCTCTCCTCCTGCTCTCTGCTCTGCTTCAGCTGTAAAGGTCAGGACATGTTTCCTCTGTCTTTCACATATCTGTCATTGTGACTCTGCCTCTGGCCACCCAGACCAGGGCTATGTCCTGTGTGTTAAGGACCGTGACACAGGTATGAAGTTGTAGGACTCCAAGTCATTAAGGTTTCGAGGCTGACGTTTGGCAACTCGAATCTTCAGCTCCCTCCACAGATTTTCTATGGGATTAAGGTCTGGAGACTGGCTAGGCCACTCCAGGACCTTAATGTGATTCTTCTTGAGCCACTCCTTTGTTGCCTTGGCCGTGTGTTTTGGGTCATTGTCATGCTGGAATACCCATCTACAACCTATTTTCAATGCCCTGGCTGAGGGAAGGAGGTTCTCACCCAAGATTTGACGGTACATGGCCACGTGCATCGTCCCTTTGATGCGGTGAAGTTGTCTTGTCCCCTTAGCAGAAAAACACCCCCAAAGCATAATGTTTCCACCTCCATGTTTGACAGTGGGGATGGTGTTCTTGGGGTCATAGGCAGCATTCCTCCTCCTCCTCCAAACACGGCGAGTTGAGTTGATGCCAAAGAGCTCGATTTTGGTCTCATCTGACCACAACACTTTCACCCAGTTCTCCTCTGAATCATTCAGATGTTCATTGGCAAACTTCAGACGGGCTTGTATATGTGATTTCTTGAGCAGGGGGACCTTGCGGGCGCTGCAGGATTTCAGTCCTTCACGGTGTAGTGTGTTACCAATTGTTTTCTTGGTGACTATGGTCCCAGCTGCCTTGAGATCATTGACAAGATCCTCCCGTGTAGTTCTGGGCTGATTCCTCACCATTCTCATGATCATTGCAACTCCACGAGGTGAGATCTTGCATGGAGCCCCAGGCTGAGGGAGATTGACAGGTATTTTGTGTTTCTTCCATTTGCAAATAATCGCACCAACTGTTGTCACCTTCTCACCAAGCTGCTTGGCGATGGTCTTGTAGCCCATTCCAGCCTTGTGTAGGTCTACAATCTTGTCCCTGACATCCTTGGAGAGCTCTTTGGTCTTGGCCATGGTGGAGAGTTTGGAATCTGATTGATTGATTGCTTCTGTGGACAGGTGTCTTTTATACAGGTAACAAACTGAGATTAGGAGCACTCCCTTTAAGAGTGTGCTCCTAATCTCAGATCGTTACCTGTATGAAAGACACCTGGGAGCCAGACATTTTCTGATTGAGAGGGGGTCAAATACTTATTTCCCTCATTAAAATGCAAATCAATTTATAAAAAATTTTACATGCGTTTTTCTGGATTTTTTTGTTGTTATTCTGTCTCTCACTGTTCAAATAAACCTACCATTAAAATGATAGACTGATCCTTTCTTTGTCAGTGGGCAAACGTACAAAATCAGCAGGGGATCAAATACTTTTTTCCCTCACTGTATAATTAGGACATGTGACATCCTGGCAACACTTTTCATATCGGAGTTGTGCCTGGTCGTCACTAGTTACCACAGCCACAAAGTCATAAACCCTGCCTATTTCTGCCATTTCTCTTCTTAAAATATGATTTTAACCTTAACCTAACCTTAACCATATTGCTAACCTTATGCCTAACCTTAACCATACTGCTAACCTTATGCCTAACCTTAACCACACTGCTAACCTTATGCCTAACCTTAACCATACTGCTAACCTTATGCCTAACCTTAACCACACTGCTAACCTTATGCCTAACCTTAACCATACTGCTAACCTTATGCGTAACCTTAACCATACTGCTAACCTTATGCCTAACCTTAACCATACTGCTAACCTTATGCCTAACCTTAACCATACTGCTAACCTTATGCCTAACCTTCAATTAAGACCAAAAAGCAAATATTTGTTTTCATACATTTTTAAGATATAGACCATTTTAACTTTGTGGCTGTGGAAACCCTTGTGCCTTTTCTTCACATGTGTATCTGCCCTCTCATTGGCTAGAGTGGTCCCACCTGACCTTGCTTCCTCCCGACTGCCTTCCATTTTTGAAGACATTTATTTTCGTTGTTAGAGCAGCCGCTAGAGTATCAGGTCAATGTAATGGATCATCTGTGTGAGAACCCAGCCACACACATTCCACATGCTCGGTCAACAGTGGAACAGTGTACCCTTTTTACCTCACACTCAGACATAAATGCATCCTTTACTCCTTCACACAACACACACACACTGTTGCAGCTCACACAAAATGGCACTGTTCACTGAGATGCATCCCAACCCTGACTCCCATGGCATATTTCCCTTAGTTCTCTCTGTCCGGTCTTCTTTTTAGAAGCGGCGAATCATTCTGGTTGGTTTGTCCTGATGAGCTGCATGGTGCCTCCTACGAGTCTGTTGGTGGAGAGGTGGAGAGATGGAGAGCAGTATAGTTTAGACAGTCAAAGTGATGGATGTCTCCTGCTGATGCTGGGGGATAGATTGATGTGTATGTAGATAAAGACTCCAGCAGCCAGACAGGTAATGCAGTGTTGGCAGGCATCTCTGGCAGCAGACAGACAGGAACCATTCAGTCATTTTATATAGGCTGTCTGTCCGGCCCTCATATGGCCTACCTGTTGTCATGTGTGATTTAGTGGGAGAACAGTTCAAGGTGACCAGGGTTACACTGATCTATGTCTTTTGTGAAAATGGCCTTTGAATGTGTTGGTACTACTACTGGAGAGCCCGTCTTTGTCTACACCCATTCAGCGTCGTTCACACCCTCTTACGCTTTAGCCCCACCCATCTCTTTATGGGTTGATCTGAGCGTTCTGTCCTAACAACAGTAGTTAAGCACCCTAGCTAACTGGCTAACGTTGGCTAGCTTGCTAGGTACTTCCAGACACAAATGAGAGAACAGCTCACTGACCACTTTACTCGCCCTAGCAGAGCTGGTTAGGCTGTCTTTATGTTATCCAGAGCGTTGGTGATGGCAACTGTGCTGCTGGCAACAATTTACACTTTTTTGCCAACGTTTACCGACACCGGCCATATTCAACGGGTGTTGAGCGTTCATAAATTTGTCAGTTATGCTGCGCTCTGGCCCACTCAGACGAGAGTGCTCTGAAATCGGAGTAAATAGCCAGAGCGAATTTACCAGCTACGTCTATCAACAGTTTTCACAGTGACAACATTAACATTCTATTGAAATGGTTACTTGCATAGTGGAGTCTTTTGTTAAGGCACTTTTGCAGTTATACTACGTGATATATTTTTAAAAAAGGATTATCTACACATACTGACCAGCTCATGTTGTAGACAGAAGCGTGCTACATGGCAGACCAATCCAAACTCATCTCTCGGCATGTCCAGCCCATCCATTATCTCAGCCAATCATGGCTAGCGGGAAGGTTCCTGTCTATTTCCGTGGCTAAACCAACTGCAGTTGAAGTCGGAAGTTTACATACACCTTAGCCAAATACATTTAAACTCAGTTTTTCACAATTCCTGACATTTAATCCTATTAAAAATGCCCTGTCTTAGGTCAGTTAGGATCACCACTTTATTTTAAGAATGTGAAATGTCAGAATAATACATATTACAGAATAATAGTAGAGAGAATGATTTATTTCAGCTTTTATTTCTTTCATCACACTCCCAGTGGGTCAGAAGTTTACATACACTAAATTAGTATTTGATAGCATTGCCTTTAAATTGTTTAACTTGGGTCAAACATTTCGGGGAGCCTTCCACAAGCTTCCCACAATAAGTTGGGTGAATTTTGGCCCATTCCTCCTGACAGCTGGTTTGTAGGCCTCCTTGCTCGCACACACTTTTTCAGTTCTGCCCACAAATCTTCTATAGGATTGAGGTCAGGGCTTTGTGATGGCCACTCCAATACCTTGACTTTGTTGTCCTTAAGCCATTTTGCCACAACTTTGGAAGTATGCTTGGGGTCATTGTCCATTTGGAAGACCCATTTGCGACCAAGCTTTAACTTCCTGACTGATGTCTTGAGATGTTGCTTCAATATATCCACATAATTTTCCTTCCTCATGATGCCATCAATTTTGTGAAGTGCACCAGTCCCTCCTGCAGCAAGGCACCCCCACAGCATGATGCTGCCACCCCGTGCTTCACGGTTGGGATGGTGTTCTTTGGCTTGCAAGCTACCCCCTTTTTCCTCCAAACATAACGATGGTCATTATGGCCAAACAGTTCTATTTTTGTTTAATCAGACCAGAGGACATTTCTCCAAAAAGTAAGATCTTTGTCCCCATGTGCAGTTGCAATCCGTAGTCTGTCTTTTTTATGGCGGTTTTGGAGCAGTGGCTTCTTCCTTGCTGAGCGGCCTTTCAGGTTATGTCGATATAGGATACATTTTACTGTGGATATAGATACATTTGTACCTGTTTCCTCCAGCATCTTCACAAGGTCCTTTGCTGTTGTTCTGGGATTGATTTTCACTTTTCGCACCAAAGTACGTTCATCTCTAGGAGACAGAACGCGTCTCTTTCCTGAGCAGTATGACGGCCTTGTGGTCCCATGGTGTTTATACTTGCATACTATTATTTGTACAGATGAACGTGGTACCTTCAGGTGTTTGGAAATTGCTCCCAAGGATGAACCAGACTTGTGGAGGTCTACAATTTCTTTTCTGAGGTCTTGGCTGATTTCTTTTGATTTTCCCATGATGTCAAGCAAAGAGGCACTGAGTTTGAAGGTAGGCCTTGAAATACATCCACAGGTACACCTCCAATTGACTCAAATGATGTCAATTAGCCTATCAGAAGCTTCTAAAGCCATGACATCATTTTCTGGAATTTTCCAAGCTGTTTAAAGGCACAGTCAACTTAGTGTATGTAAACAATTGTTGGAAAAATTACTTGTGTCATACACAAAGTAGATGTCCTAACCGACTTGCCAAAACTATAGTTTGTTAACAAGAAATTTGTGGAGTGGTTGAAAAATGAGTTTTAATGACTCCAACCTAAGTGTATGTAAACTTCCGACTTCAACTGTAGGCTCGTAATATAACAATTGTATTCGTATTTAAAGATGGCATACAAGTTTGTTATTAAGCACATGAAAGTTCACATGTTCCAGAAGGCATTTCTGCCAAAAAACGCATTATGATTTTTTTAAAAGAGTTTACGTTCAAATGCCTCTCCTGTGAAGTAGTGACGCCGGGCATATGCCTAGTTTCCTGAAACTAGTCACATATATGATGATGAACCCCTCAATGTCCCGTGTGGCTCAGTTGGTAGAGCATGGCCCTTGCAACGCCAGGGTTGTGGTTCGATTCCCACGGGGGACCAGTACGAAAAAAAAGTATGAAAATGTGGATAAGAGCATCTGCTAAATGACAAAAATGTTAACGTAATGTTATGACAGTGTGGCAGAGCCAAAGGTCCTGCCCACAGCCTCACCACAAGCATCTTCTACCTGCTGTCTACTTCTATGTCTAGAGTATGTGTGTGTTGTGTTTGAGAGAGTGTGTGTGTGTGTGCCACAGTGTCACTTCTAAATAAGGCAGTGCAGTGACGTTAAGTCAGGGTGTGTTTGTGTATGCATGTTTTGGGTGTGTAGTCCATGTGTAGTCACCCAGGGTCCAAGGTCCCCCTGCAATGTCTGCTGGAAGTCTATATTAGGGGGGGGGGGGGGGGGCAGGGGGGGTTAGGGGGGGGGGTTAGAGGGGAGGGGTTTAAGGGCCAGTTAGGCCGGCTCATCTAGCTCCAGACACAGAGAAATGCCCCGGATTAGAGAGTGCCATGCAGCCACCAGCAGTGTGGCTGTGACTGTGTGTGTGTGAGGTGGGGGGGTGTATGTGTGCCTGTCTAAATGTGGTTCTTTGTGTGTGTGTGTAACTATACAGACCCCACTTGGGGTGCCTGTCTCTTTCTGGCACACCATGTCCTCCCCCTTCTCATCCATCTGCTCTCCTACAGCAGATTCCTCTCTGTAGCTGTCTGTCTCTCTCTCTCTCTGTAGCTGTCTTTCTCTCTCTCTCTGTAGCTGTCTTTCTCTCTCTCTCTGTAGCTGTCTTTCTCTCTCTCTCTCCCTGTAGCTGTCTCTCTCTGTCTCTCTCTCTTTGTCTCTGTAGCTCTCTCTCTCTTTCTCTCTCTCTCTCTGTAGCTGTCTTTCTCTCTCTCTCTGTAGCTGTCTCTCTCTCTTTCTCTCTCTCTGTCTCTGTAGATGTCTCTTTCTCTCTGTCTCTCTCTGTCTCGCTCTCTCTCTGTTTCTGTCTCTGTCTCTGTGTCTCTGTCTCTGTAGCTGTCTGTCTCTGTCTGTATCTCTGTCTCTATCTCTCTCTCTGTCTCTCTCTCTTTCTGTCTGTCTCTCTCTGTAGCTCTCTCTCTCTCTCTCTCATCAGATTCCTCTCTGTAGATGTATTTCTCTCTCTCTGAAGCTGTCTCTCTCTCTCTCTCTCTCTCTCTCGCTCTCTGTCTCGCTCTCTCTCTGTCTCTGTGTCTCTGTCTCTGTAGCTGTCTGTCTCTGTCTCTGTCTGTATCTCTGTCTCTATCTCTCTCTCTGTCTCTCTCTCTTTCTGTCTGTCTCTCTCTGTAGCTCTCTCTCTCTCTCTCTCATCAGATTCCTCTCTGTAGATGTATTTCTCTCTCTCTGAAGCTCTCTCTCTCTCTCTCTCTCTCTCGCTCTCGCTCTCGCTCTCGCTCTCGCTCTCGCTCTCGCTCTCGCTCTCTCTCTGTGTGATGTGAAGATATGTGTCACATTGACAGACGTCAGTCAACCAACATGACACTAGGTTTTGTCAATGTCTGATGCGACGCTGCCTCGCAGAGTGACACAACCAACCCCAATGCTTGGTCACTATTCCAGCACACACCAACAGTATCAAACAAACACCTACATTACAAAGCCAATAGCTGTAAAGCTGATTGGAATGGCATTCATTTCTTCATTTGAACTCGTAGGTAGAGAAGAAAATCAGAGTGGTCTTGTTGAGAGAGATCATAGCAGACTTTGATCAGGGTCTTACATAGGCCTGTCTTAACAGTTCCTTTCTTTTCTCTTTTTCTTCCGTTAGTTTACAGGAAAAGCCAGCTAATCAGCTAACGAGCCAGTGCTCTGAACATGTGTAGTAGTCAGTGGCTTTGTGCCAACCTACAATATAACACTGCCAAGAACTGAGCCTTTTCTGTTGTCTATTACCCTTGTGCGTAATGGTTTTGTGTGTGTGTAATGAATTGCCTCTTGCAGCTCCCAGACGGTCAGTTCTGCCAATTATTCTCGTTGGAGTTTTTCCCATTCCTGTTATATTGGCAGATTATGGAATGTCGTGGAGTTAGGGCTGGGCGATATGTCCCAAATATCATATCACCGTATAAAAAAATACAATAAAAATAGGTATGATGGTATTTTATGGTACTTTATGTTTTTGAATAATAAAAGTTCTACATTTGCTTCATGAGTAGTGCGTGACCCTAGGGTGGCAACACATACATTCTAAGGGATTTCAATGGGACTTCCCTCATTCTGATTGTTTTATACTGTTCAATTCAACTTCAACCAAAAATAATTTTCATAATTTTCTGTATTTCCTGCACTAATTTAAGATCATTTCCACACTGCCACGTAGGGCTGCATGATATGGGCAAACAACCTAGGCCTTATTTTTAACTAAATGTTGCAATTGCGATTTGATTTGCGATTTAGAGCAAAACACTTAAGTGAACTGTTGGAGTCATAGAAATAGAATGATTATTCTAATTCTATAATTAGAATATAATAGTGGGCACTTTGAATACAGTGTTGTTTGACATGACAACAAATGAAAAGGCCAGGGAGGAGTTACTGTGACAGGGTAGGAACCAAAGTGTTGATAAGTGTTTACTAGGGTCCCTATAATCTTTGGTTACATTTAATGTTTTCTCTTAGCTACTTCATATAGCTAACATATTCATGCTTCACGTAGTCCTCTTTGATTTAGAAGATAGTGTTGCACAAACAACATGCTGATTTAGGGCTACACCATCACTGGTATTATCAGGTTGTATAGCTAGTTACGTGTTTATCATTAGCGGCTAACACGACTTGCTAAGAAAATACAGACTGCTGAGAGAGAGAGAGAGAGAGAGAGAGAGAATTATAAAAATGGACGTTATAGAAGGTAAAGTAAAAATTAAAACCGGTATATCGTAAAATACAGTATACCGCTCAGCCCTAAGTGGAGTAGAGACTGTTCTCCCGTCTCATTGGATCAGAGTTGGCCGACGTGAGGTCAGGCTTATCTCAACTGTAATCATCCTCACACCTTTCACTCACTGGTTAGTGAGGTAGCAGCTAGTTCTCCCAAGGAATCCTGCTTGCTTTCTGTGGGTGCATCTCAATAGTCTAGTGGTTTCCTCTCCTTGGGTCCTTTACTTAATTTACAGTGATCTGGGAACATGGGGTAGGTGAAAGCTGTATATTACCATTACAGAGTAGTACCCTGCAGTTCATGTACAGTGTTCTCAGGACCACGCGCTTATTTATGCCCTAGTCTGGTTTGGTCTGTACTCACTGTTTCTTAAATCTACTCTCTGTGGGTCTGCTGTGTAGTCAGACCACGCACACACGCACAAACACACACACATGCTTGCGCACGCACATATGCACACAGACACACACACGTGCTTGCACACACACACACGGATGCCCACATTCCAGCGTTAGTATTCTGTCACACACTAGCAATAATATGGAGAAAGTCCAAGGCACCAACATCTTATCCAAGTCTGTGTGTCTCCAAAGCTGGTTTTGATGAAGGACCGAAAGCTTTCCATATTACTCTCATCTTCTTGCCTTCTTGTCCTGCTGTATCTCTATCTGTATCTCTATCTGTATCTCTATCTGTATCTCTATCTGTATCTCTATCCGTATCTCTATCTGTATCTCTATCTGTATCTCTATCTGTATCTCTATCCGTATCTCTATCCGTATCTCTATCCGTATCTCTATCCGTATCTCTATCTGTATCTCTATCTGTATCTCTATCTGTATCTCTATCTGTATCGCTATCTGTATCGCTATCTGTATCGCTATCTGTATCGCTATCTGTATCTCTATCTGTATCTCTATCCGTATCTCTATCCGTATCTCTATCCGTATCTCTATCTCTATCTGTATCTCTATCTGTATCTCTATCTGTATCTCTATCTGTATCTCTATCTCCAGCTACATGATGTTGATGTGAGGTCTGATCCTGCTGAGACACGGGTTTACAGCCAAACAGGAATCTAATTCAAAGAATCTGGAGTTAACACCCTAAATGTGCACGCCAGTGAATTAATTTGACAAGTTCAGTATCTTCTCGCTTAGCCTACTTCTTTTAGTCAGTAGTCACACCTTAAAACCTGAGCCTTGAGACTTTGAGGTTCTATAGGTACTAGGCCTGTGTAATTGACTACAAACCAAGCTGTACTCAGTGCATGAGGGTGAGCCTAGTCTGTGCCAGAAGGTCTTAGTGAGTCTGTAAGCAGGGTTTGGCTTGGCTGCCAGTCTCTACTCTTAATGAATGAGCTTGTTGCTGTGAAGCTCTTAGGCACTCTCCTTTTATCATCCCTGGGCTGGAGACATGGACAGGCTTGGTCTCCTCAAACTAAACCCTCACACACACACACGCAAGTACACACTCTCACATAGGGCTGGGCGATATGGCCTAAAAATCGGATCTTGTTTTTTTCCCCAAACTTATGGGCGATTCACGATATATATCTAGATTTATTTTTAAACCTTTTTCTCTAAATAAGCATTGTTGCACAATTATAATATAATAATATAATATGCCATTTAGCAGACGCTTTTATCCAAAGTGACTTACAGTCATGCGTGCATACATTATATATATATATATTTTTTGTGTATGGGTGGTCCCGGGGATCGAACCCACTACCTTGGCGTTACAAGCGCCGTGCTCTACCAGCTGAGCTACAAAGGACCACCACAATTAAAGGTTAATACACTGCATTTCAAACAGTCAGGAATAATCTAATGAATTCACGGCTTGTGAAGTTATACCCAGGCTAAATATAAGCCTTCAACCATAAGACCCACTAATAATTTAATTATTTTATCAAAATAGTTTAACCAGCTTTTTTGCAGTAATCAATGATCTGGCTTTCAAATCTGTCTATGAAAAGGCAGTTTTGTTACAAATTTAACCAGAACCATGGACAATGCACATTGACTAATAATGACCAACTTATGGTAGCAGGCATTATAGAAAATTAACACAGGTCTCAAACAATCTCTCAAGCACAAGCCCACTGCTAGTGAGTAGCCAGCTGATCTTTATTTTTAAAGTCTAGCCAAATATCTATTTTCTTGCTAACAAGGTATAACAGTTGAACTGTTATGAATACACCCTCTTGTCCTTCTCCAACTGTTTGAACAACATAGCCTACCTGGATAAGAAGATGCTTATTTCTCAGATTGAGAACGAGTTGCCAATACCTTATATAAATACGACTTTTTATGCTACAGGCATTTGGAACATCGCGCTAAAACATACATACTCTCACACACGCATGCACCCACGTCGCCATGAATCCCACCGACCCCCAGCTAGTAGTGTACTCTTTCATAGAGCTGGACCCATGGACAGTGTGCTATGTAGAACCCCTAGACTGTATCTCTGCTCCAGATAACACACCCACACACACACAATCACATCCTCTTTTTCTGTCCACACACACACCGACCACTCCCCTCTGAGCTGGGGCCCAGCTGCACTGAACACTCTGGCCTTTGTGTGAGAACAGCTGGCTGCAGTCACACACTGCATGTTGTTGATTTGATTTGATACTCCCCCGACACACACACATACACACACACACACACACACACACACACACTGTTCCACGTATGCCTAAAGCCATCCATTCCCACTGGGCACAGACGTCAATTCAACGTCTATTCCACGTTGGTTCAACGTAATGTCGTTGAATTGACATGGAATAGACGTTGATTCAACCAATGTATGTTGAATCAACGTCTATGTATGTAATGTTTGTGAAGAATTGATTACATTTGCTGGTTGTGTTCTGTTCAGTTCTATATGTATTGGGACAAAGCCTCTGGTTCTTCCACCATTAGACCAATGCAGAGTCCGTTCAGGCCCTGGTGACATCAGCACTCTGGCTGTAGACTGGGAAACACACTCAGACCGGAGGGAGAAGTGTGTGCCTTGGACCGGACAGTGGTTGAACTACTTTGCGACCGTGTTGCTCTCGTTAATGGAGGTACGCAAATGCCCTAACGAGGCGTTTCTTGAGGCATTAATTCCGTGTAGTTACAGGGTTAAAACAGAAACAACTCAAAGGGTTAAGTTAAGGTATTAATTCTGAGTGGTTATAATTAAAAACAAAACGCTGTTTCCATCAACTATCATCAAGTATTCTCACGGCTTGCTAAAGCATTGTGAACTGCGGTGTTGCAGTGTTCTAAGCAGCGCGCTCTGGCTCCGAGCATCAGAGGAAGGCATATATCGATGTTCTCAGGACCTTTTCAAACATCCGGAATCGCCATCTATTTCTAGTGATCAGGCTGAATACCCCACCCAGTTACTGCCTTGCCTCCTAACTCGTGGTGCCAGAAACAAACTACTACAGTATGTCCTACTTCAGTGGTTCCCAACCAGGGGTACTAGGACCCCAGGGGGTACTTGACCCATCCACAGGGGGTACTTGAGAAGAATCATGAGACTAAAAGCTTACTGGTAAAATGCACATGAGAGGGTACTCCGGGTAGAGTAACATTTTGTTGGTTGTACAGTAACTGAAAAGGGTTGAGAACCGCTGTCCTACTTGAACAAGACATTGGTTTGGGTGATTTGAAAGTTTGTTGTATATTTGCATCTGTTGCGTATGTGTTAGCATAGGCTGTGTCTCTGTGTTTGTGTGTATGAGAGGTGGATAGACAGAAAGTCTGAGGCTGTGTCTCTGTGTTTGTGTGTATGAGAGGTGGATAGACAGAAAGTCTGAGGCTGTGTCTCTGTGTTTGTGTGTATGAGAGGTGGATAGACAGAAAGTCTGAGGCTGTGTCTCTGTGTTTGTGTGTATGAGAGGTGGATAGACAGAAAGTCTGAGGCTGTGTCTCTGTGTTTGTGTGTATGAGAGGTGGATAGACAGAAAGTCTGAGGCTGTGTCTCTGTGTTTGTGTGTATGAGAGGTGGATAGACAGAAAGTCTGAGGCTATGTCTCTGTGTTTGTGTGTATGAGAGGTGGATAGACAGAAAGTCTGAGGCTATGTCTCTGTGTTTGTGTGTATGAGAGGTGGATAGACAGAAAGTCTGAGGCTGTGTCTTTGTGTATGTCTTGAAACTATAGGGTGTGTGTGCATGCGTACGTGTGCTTGCAAGTGTACGTTTACATGTGACAAGCTTGCGTGTGTATGTGAAGGAGAGACGGGGCCAATGTGTTGTGTGTTAATGACAGTCTGATGATGTACCTTCCTCTCACCCCTCATGATCACATTCCACAGCTCCCTGGGGCCTCTCCTGGCCCTGCCCCTCCCTCTCCTGGCCCTGCCCCTCCCTCACCTGGCCCTGCCCCTCCCTCACTCCCTCCCTCTCCTGGCCCTGCCCCTCCCTCGCTCCCTCCCTCTCCTGGCCCTGCCCCTCCCTCCCTCCCTCACCTGGCCCTGCCCCACCCTCGCCCCCTCCCTCTCCTGGCCCTGCCCCTCGCTCCCTCTCTTGGCCCTGCCCCTCGCTCCCTCCCTTTCTTGGCCCCTGCCTCGCTTCCTCCCTCTCTTGGCCCTGCCCCTCCCTCCCTCACCGCAGCCATGCCTCTGGTGTGGGAGAGAGGGAGTGAGGGAAAGCAGGAGCGAGCGAGAGAGAGGAAGGAATGTGGTGGAGTGGGCAGTATAGTTGTGGCTGACTAATTTTGCCTGCCCACTCCACCCAGATCTCTCTCTTACTCTCCATCTCGCTCTCTACTGCTTTCCCTAAGGTCCATCCTTCTCCTTCCATTGTTCTATCTCTCCCTCTCTGTCCCCCCTTCTCTCTTTCAATTTCAATTCAATTTAAGGGGCTTTATTGGCATGGGAAATATATGTTTACATTGCCAAAGCAAGTGAAATAGATAATAAACAAAATAACAGTAAACATTACACTCACAAAAGTTCCAAAAGAATAAAGACCTCCCAGTCTCTCTCTCTCTCCCCCAATCTCTGGCAGCTTCATTAAATAGTACCCGCAAAACACCAGTCTCAACGTCAACAGTGAAGAGGCGACTCCGGGATTCTGACCTTCTAGGCAGAGTTGCAAAGAAAAAGCCATATCTCAGACTGGCCAATAAAAAGAAAAGATTAAGATGGGCAAAAGAACACTGGACTTTTTCTTTGCAACTCTGCCTAGAAGGTCAGCATCCCGGAGTCGACTCTTGACTGTTGACGTTGAGACTGGTGTTTTGCGGGTACTATTTATTGAAGCTGCCAGTTGAGGACCTGTGAGGCGTCTGTTTCTCAAACTAGACACTCTAATGTATTTGTCCTCTTGCTCAGTTGTGCACCGGGGCCTCCCTCTCCTCTTTCTATTCTGGTTAAAGCCAGTTTGCGCTGTTCTGTGAAGGGAGTAGTACACAGCATTGTGCGAGATCTTCAGTTTCTTGGCAATTTCTCGCATGGAATAGCCTTAATTTCTCCGAAGGAAGTTCTTTGTTTCTGGCCATTTTGAGCCTATAATCGAACCCACAATTGCTGATGCTCCAGATACTCAACTAGTCTCAAGAAGGCCCATTTTATTGCTTCTTTAAACAGCACAACAGTTTTCATCTGTGCTAACATGATTGCAAAAGGGTTTTCTAATGATCAATTAGCCTTTTAAAATGATAAACTTGGATTAGCAAACACAACGTGCCATTGGAACACAGGACTGATGGTTGCTGATAATGGGCCTCTGTACACCTTTGTAGACATTCCATAAAAAATCAGCTGCTTCCAGCTACAATAGCCATTTACAACATTAACAATGTCTACACTGTGTATTTCTGATCAATTTGATGTTATTTTAATGGACAAAAAAATTGCTTTTCTTTCAAAAACAAGGACATTTGTAAGTGACCCCAAATGTTTGAATGGTAGTGTGTGTGTGTGTGTGTGTGTGTGTGTGTATATATATATATATTAGTGTAGATCAGCTTTAATATTGCAGATAGTTTGTGGCTTCTATCAATGTAATTGTCTGCATCATTTCCAATCCCCCATATATATTTTTTTAGTAAATAAATATATACAGTACCAGTAAAAAGTTTGGACACACCTACTCATTCAAGGGTTTTTCTTTATTTTTACTATTTTCTACATTGTAGAAGAATAGTGAAGACATCAAAACTATGAAATAACACATATGGAATAATGTAGTAACCAAAAAAGTGTTAAACAAATCCAAATATATTTGAGATTCTTCAAATAGCCACCCTTTGCCTTGATGACAGCTTTGCACACTCTTGGCATTCTCTCAACCAGATCACCTGGAATGCTTTTCCAACAGTCTTTAAGGAGTTCCCACATATGCTGAGCACTTGTTGGCTGCTTTTCCTTCACTCTGCGGTCCGACTCATCCCAAACCATCTCAATTGGGTTGAGGTCGGGGGATTGTGGAGGCCAGGTCATCTAATGCAGCACTCCATCACTCTCCTTCTTGGTAAAATAGCCCGTACACAGCCTGGAGGTGTGTTGGGTCATTGTCCTGTTGAAAAACAAATAGTCCCACTAAGCCCAAACCAGATGGGATGGCGTATCGCTGCAGAATGCTGTGGTAGCCATGCTGGTTAAGTGTGCCTTGAATTCTGAATAAATCACTGACAGTGTCACCAGCAAAGCACCATCACACCTCCTCCTCCATGCTTCATGGTGGGAACCACACATGCGGAGATCATCCGTTCACCTATTCTGCGTCTCACAAGACACGGCGGTTGGAACCAAAAATCTCAAATTTGGACTCATCAGACCAAAGGACAGATTTCCACCTGTCTAATGTCCATTGCTCGTGTTTCTTGGCCCAAGCAAGTCTCTTCTTATTATTGGTGTCCTTTAGTAGTGGTTTCTTTGCAGCAATTTGACCATGAAGGCCTGATTCACACAGTCTCCTCTGAACAGTTGATGTTGAGATGTGTCTGTTACTTGAACTCTGTGAAGCATTTATTTGGGCTGCAATCTAAGGTGCAGTTAATTGCCGATTTCTGAGGCTGGTAACGCTAATTAACTTAGAATAATAATAATAATAATAATAATAATAATATAATATGCCATTTAGTAGATCCTCTGTAGCAGAGGTAACTCTGGGTCTTCCTTTCCTGTGGTGGTCCTCATGAGAGCCAGTTTCATCATAGCGCTTGATGGTTTTTGCGACTGCACTTGAAGAAACGTTCAAAGTGCTTGAAATGTTCCCTATTGACTGACCTTCATGTCTTAAAGTAATGATGGACTGTCATTTCTCTTTGCTTATTTGAGCTGTTCTTGCCATAATATGGACTTGGTCTTTTACCAAATAGGGTTCTCTTCTGTACACCAACGCTACCTTGTCACAACACAACTGATTGGCTCAAACGCATTAAGAAGGAAAGAAATTCCACAAATTAACTTTTAAGAAGGCACACCTGTTAATTGAAATGCATTCCAGGTGACTACCTCATGAAGCTGGTTGAGAGAATGACAAGAGTGTTCAAAGCTGTCATCAAGGCACACTTTGGCTACTTTGAAGAATCTAAAATCTAAAATATATTTTGATTTGTTTAACACTTTTTTGGTTACTACATGATTCCATGTGTTATTTCATAGTTTTGATGTCTTCACTATTATTCTACAATGTAGAAAACAGTAAAAATAAAGAAAAACCCTTGAATGAGTAGGTGTGTCCAAACCTTTGACTGGTACTGTATATACAACCTACTAAATAGTTACACACGTAAACACACATTCAATCCCCCCTCTGTCGTGTGTTCACTGTCCTCCCCATATACAAAGACATTCTTATACACACACTTTAACTTACACTGTCATGAAGCACACACACACACACTGCAGTTCCTTCTGTAGTGGTGTTCTGCTTTCTCTCTGTGTTCAGAAGCTCATTGGAAGATGAAGGTATTTGGATGCTTTGTTTATATTCATTTCAACAAGTCAGCTATGCTCCTGTGTTTACATCCATAGCTCCGTATGAATGTATATATCATGTCATAGACATCTTTAACAATGTAAATATTATTTATCATGCTGAAGCATTGTAACTCTGGCAGTGTATCATATGGAGAAATCTATTGGACTTCAGAACCACTTTGAACTTTGTGAACGTTAAGATCTATCATTGTTTTTGGAGATACTCTCTTTTGAATTGATAATAATGTGTTACTGTACTCTTAAGACAAATGGCTGGATTAAAACCATCTTGGTGTAGGCCCACAGCTTTACCCTGCTTGGTTTGGCTTGTGGACAATGTATTTGGATGCTTGATTTAGAGCTGTTAGTGTATTTAGCTTTCACTGCATGTAAAGCCAGTGTGGTTGTATCCTAAGCTGTGCTATATGTTCAAGAGGCATATAGTTTACCTAATACAACACATGTCTCTGTTACTGTCATGAGAGAGCTATGGTCCATAATTCATGAAACCACTGGGTCCAAGAAGCCAAAATGGCTCCACATGTAGCCAAATGGGTCCAAGCCACATTCACTCCCATCCATCCCACTCTCCTTTGCAGTGTTCTGTTTGGGATGGATGGAAGGAGAGGAGAGGAAGACAGAGGGCTATTTGAAGAAAATGATGTGGAGAGGGAGCGAGGGAGAGAAAGGTTTACTGATATTGTTTATTTCACTTGCTTTGGCAATGTAAACATAATGTTTCCCATGCCAATAAAGCCTGTTGAATTGAGAGAGAGACTTTCTTAAATAGAGGTGTAAGACTTGTTTAAATACTCTTATCGCTTTGAGTGATATAACAAAGAGATTGAGTGAGAGAGATTAAGACTGGTGTGCATGTTTTGATATTAAACATGTTTAATTGGATACAAAGCAGCAGATGAGATGTGGGTGGTTGTCATAGCGATGGGATGTCAGTAGCTGGATCTACTTTCCAACCCGAGAGAGAAGTAGCAGACGTGTTAGAGGGGATCCTGAGTACTGAATAAAAAATGCAAAAAGACAAGTCCTATTTATGTTTTCACCTATTTCTTTCTCTTTCCTACTTCCTCTCTCTGCATCTCTCTCTCTCTCACTCTCTCTGCATCTCTCTTTCCTGTTTTCTCTCTGGGGCTCTCTCTCGCTCTGCATCTCTCTCTGGCTCTGCATCTCTCTCTGCGTCTCTCTGCGTCTCTCTCTCTCTGCCTCTCTCTATCTGCCTCTCTCTCTCTGCGTCTCTCTCTCTGTGTCTCTGCGTCTCTCTCTCTCTGTGTCTCTGCGTCTCTCTCTCTGTGTCTCTGCGTCTCTCTCTGCGTCTCTCTGCGTCTCTCTCTCTCTTTCTCTCTGCGTCTCTCTATCTGCCTCTCTCTCTCTGCGTCTCTCTGTGTCTCTAGCTCTCTTTCTCTCTGCGTCTCTCTATCTGCCTCTCTCTCTCTCTGCGTCTCTGTGTCTCTCTCTGCGTCTCTCTCTCTCTCTTTCTCTCTGCGTCTCTCTCTCTGCGTCTCTCTCTCTGCGTCTCTTTACGTCTCTCTCTGTGTCTCTCTCTGCGTCTCTCTCTTTCTCTCTGCGTCTCTATCTCTGCGTCTCTTTACGTCTCTCTCTGTGTCTCTCTCTGCGTCTCTCTCTCTCTGGGTCTCTCTCTCTTTCTCTCTGCGTCTCTCTCTCTGCGTTTCTGCGTCTCTCTCTCTGCGTCTCTCTCTCTCTGCGTCTCTCTCTCTCTCTCTCTCTCTCTCTCTGCGTTTCTCTCTCTCTCTGCGTCTCTCTCTCTCTCTGCGTCTCTCTCTCTCGCTCTCTCTGCGTCTCTCTCTCTCTCTCTGCGTCTCTCTCTGCGTCTCTCTCTCTCTCTGCGTCTCTCTCTCTCTCTGCGTCTCTCTCTCTGCGTTTCTCTCTGCGTCTCTCTCTCTCTCTCTCTCCACGTCTCTCTCTCTGCGTTTCTCTCTGCGTCTCTCTCTCGCTCTATCTGCGTCTCTCTCTCTGCGTCTCTCTCTCTCTGCGTCTCTCTCTCTCTCTCTCTGCGTCTCTCTCTCACTGCGTCTCTCTCTCTCTGCGTCTCTCTCTCTCTCTCTGCGTTTCTCTCTCTCTGCGTTTCTGCGTCTCTCTCTCTGCGTCTCTCTCTCGCTCTCTCTGCGTCTCTCTCTCGCTCTCTCTGCGTCTCTCTCTCGCTCTCTCTGCGTCTCTCTCTCTTTCTCTCTGCGTCTCTCTCTCTGCGTTTCTGCGTCTCTCTCTCTGCGTCTCTTTACGTCTCTCTCTGTGTCTCTCTCTGCGTCTCTCTCTTTCTCTCTGCGTCTCTCTCTGCGTCTCTTTACGTCTCTCTCTGTGTCTCTCTCTGCGTCTCTCTCTTTCTCTCTGCGTCTCTCTCTCTGTGTTTCTGCGTCTCTCTCTCTCTGCGTCTCTCTCTCGCTCTCTCTGCGTCTCTCTCTCTTTCTCTCTGTGTCTCTCTCTCTACGTTTCTGCGTCTCTCTCTCTGCGTCTCTCTCTCTGCGCCTCTCTGCATCTCTCTCTCTGCGTCTCTCTCTCTGTCTCTGCGTCTCTCTCTCTCTCTCTCTGCGTCTCTCTCTCTGTGTTTCTGCGTCTCTCTCTCTGCGTCTCTCTCTCTCTGCGCCTCTCTGCATCTCTCTCTCTGCGTCTCTCTCTCTCTCTCTGCGTCTCTCTCTCTCTCTGCGTCTATCTCTCTCTCTCTGTGTCTCTCTCTCTGCGTCTCTCTCTCTGCGTCTCTCTCTCTCTCTGCGTCTCTCTCTCTCTGCATCTCTCTCTCTGCGTTTCTCTCTCTGCGTCTCTCTCTCTGCGTTTCTCTCTCTGCGTCTCTCTCTCTGCGTTTCTCTCTCTGCGTCTCTCTCTCTGCGTCTCTCTCTCTGTGTCTCTCTCTCTGCGTCTCTCTCTCTGCGTCTCTCTCTCTCTGCGTCTCTCTCTCTCGCTCTCTCTGCGTCTCTCTCTATCTGCGTCTCTCTCTCTGCGTCTCTTTCTCTCTCTGCGTCTCTCTCTCTCTGCGTCTCTCTCTCTGCGTTTCTCTCTCTGCGTCTCTCTCTCTGCGTTTCTCTCTCTGCGTCTCTCTCTCTGCGTCTCTCTCTCTGCGTTTCTCTCTCTGCGTCTCTCTCTCTGCGTCTCTCTCTCTGCGTCTCTCTCTCTGCGTCTCTCTCTCTCTGCGTCTCTCTCTCTCTGCGTTTCTCTCTGCGTCTCTCTCTCTCTGCGTCTCTCTCTCTCTGCGTCTCTCTCTCTTTCTGCGTCTCTCTCTCTCTTTCTGCGTCTCTCTCTCTCTGCGTCTCTCTCTCTCTGCGTTTCTCTCTGCGTTTCTCTCTCTGCGTCTCTCACTCTGCTTCTCTCTCTCTGCGTTTCTCTGTGCGTCTCTCTCTCTCTCTCTCTGCGTCTCTCTCTCTCTGCGTCTCTCTCTCTCTGCGTCTCTCTCTCTCTCTCTCTGCGTCTCTCTCTCTCTGCGTCTCTCTCTGTGTCTCTCTCTCTCTGCGTCTCTCTCTCTCTCTGCGTTTCTCTGTCTGCGTCTCTCTCTCTCTGCGTCTCTCTCTCTCTGCGTTTCTCTCTCTGCGTCTCTCTCTCTCTCTCTGCGTGTCTCTCTCTCTCTCTCTGCATCTCTCTCTCTCTCTCTCTTTGTCTTCATCTCTCTGTGTTGGCATTCTGCTGGCAGTATGAAGTATGTAGCAGTGATTTAGGCTCTCTGTTAAACTATCTTGTGTAACATTTCCTCTCCATCTTGCTCCTTCCTGATCACCCCTTCCTGATCACCCATAAACCCATGTCTTGTCCTAGATAATCCACATCACCTTCACATTTGTATTTTCCAAAATTGTGATGGGAGCAGGGAGGGTGTCTGTGTGTTAATGTCTAGGATCTCATCATGGGAATCAGGGGTCCGCTGTTTTGACAGTTCCACTCTCTACACCCTCCCTCTGGTCGAGCCGGTCCCAAAGAGTGTGTGTGTGTATGTGTGTGTGTGTGTGTGTACGTTAAATGATTCAGCATCTTGGTGTCTGCATGCCGGAGGGGAGGCAGAAGGGCATATTTATTTTACCCCTGTGCCCCGACCGACCCACGCCTCACCGCACAGAGACACCAGAACGCTTTCAGGGACACACCCCACAAATGTGCCCACGTGACACACACACAACATTGTGCACCTCTCTATAACTCGAGCATCTAAGTACAGTGAGCGATGAGCGAGCATAGCAGAGAGAGAGGCATTATCTCATTCGACGTTATTCGTATCGAATATCTCGTTCGTCCTCACATCTCTCTCTCTCTCTCTCTCTCTCTCTCTCTCTCTCTCTCTCTCTCTCTCTCTCTCTCTCTCTCATACACACAGACATAACCCATAAACGCAAACGCTCTTACTCAGTCATTGTCTTACATTTGAACTGAGCTGTCACTCTTATCCTCTTCTTACTGTCTCGCTCCACACTCAAAGATCAACCCTGTTCCAGTCAGTAAAATGTCCTAACCCATCTCTCCCTCCCTCTCTCTCTGCCTGCAGGACAGTGACATACAGAAGAAAATAGACCATGAGATCCGGATGCGTGATGGAGCCTGTAAGCTGCTGGCTGCCTGCTCCCAGAGAGACCAGGCCCTGGAGGCCTCCAAGAGCCTGCTCACCTGCAACACCCGCATCATGGCCTACATGTCGGAGCTGCAGAGGATGAAGGAGGCCCAGGTCATGCAGAGGGTCGCACTAAGGTCAGAGGGCAAACGGGCAAGGGGGCGGGGTAGGAACTTAGAGGTGCATAAATGGAGCTATCCCCATAGGGTGAAGGGCTTAATGTGGTCTGAGTGGGCAGGGTTTACAATTAGAATTTCCGTTGTTGACATCCCCTTCTTTCTGTCTCTACCAGGTCATCTGTTGCAGGGCCCACGGACGACAGACTACCCTGTAAGGGAAAGGTGGCCATCTCAGGTAGGCCCCAGTAGTGTGTGTGTGTGTATTTGTGTGTGCCTATATAAAGGAGAGATGCATGTCTACCCAATAGCAGAGCTTCATGTAGTCCACTTCATCAGCCCCAGGTCCTGACACCCTGCCTCCTCATCTCCTATTATGCTATGCTGATGCTGTCTGTCATGCTGAGGGGGGGGCGGGGTCATGATGATGAGCGAGATCGTCTCTGGGTCTCATAGCCACCCCCCACTGAGGACCCCACACTAGGGAGGGGTGAGGGTACAGTGGGGAAAAAATGTATTTAGTCAGCCACCAATTGTGCAAGTTCTCCCACTTAAAAAGATGAGAGAGGCCTGTAATTTTCATCATAGGTACACGTCAACTATGACAGACAAATTGAGAGAGAAAAATCCAGAAAATCACATTGTAGGATTTTTAATTAATTTATTTGCAAATTATGGTGGAAAATAAGTATTTGGTCACCTACAAACAAGCAAGATTTCTGGCTCTCACAGACCTGTAACTTCTTCTTTAAGAGGCTCCTCTGTCCTCCACTCGTTACCTGTATTAATGGCACCTGTTTGAACTTGTTATCAGTATTAAAGACACCTGTCCACAACCTCAAACAGTCACACTCCAAACTCCACTATGGCCAAGACCAAAGAGCTGTCAAAGGACACCAGAAACAAAATTGTAGACCTGCACCAGGCTGGGAAGACTGAATCTGCAATAGGTAAGCAGCTTGGTTTGAAGAAATCAACTGTGGGAGCAATTATTAGGAAATGGAAGACATACAAGACCACTGATAATCTCCCTCGATCTGGGGCTCCACGCAAGATCGCACCCCATGGGGTCAAAATGATCACAAGAACGGTGAGCAAAAATCCCAGAACCACACGGGGGGACCTAGTGAATGACCTGCAGAGAGCTGGGACCAAAGTAACAAAGCCTACCATCAGTAACACACTACGCTGCCAGGGACTCAAATCCTGCAGTGCCAGACGTGTTCCCCTGCTTAAGCCAGTACATGTCCAGGCCCATCTGAAGTTTGCTAGAGTGCATTTGGATGATCCAGAAGAGGATTGGGAGAATGTCATATGGTCAGATGAAACCAAAATAGAACTTTTTGGTAAAAACTCAACTCGTCTTGTTTGGAGGGCAAAGAATGCTGAGTTGCATCCAAAGAACACCATACCTACTGTGAAGCATGGGGGTGGAAACATCATGCTTTGGGGCTGTTTTTCTGCAAAGGGACCAGGACGACTGATCCGTGTAAAGGAAAGAATGAATGGGGCCATGTATCGTGAGATTTTGAGTGAAAACCTCCTTCCATCAGCAAGGGCATTGAAGATGAAACGTGGCTGGGTCTTTCAGCATGACAATGATCCCAAACACACCGCCCGGGCAACGAAGGAGTGGCTTCGTAAGAAGCATTTCAAGGTCCTGGAGTGGCCTAGCCAGTCTCCAGATCTCAACCCCATAGAAAATCTTTGGAGGGAGTTGAAAGTCCGTGTTGCCCAGTGACAGCCCCAAAACATCACTGCCCTAGAGGAGATCTGCATGGAGGAATGGGCCAAAATACCAGCAACAGTGTGTGAAAACCTTGTGAAGACTTACAGAAAACGTTTGACCTGTGTCATTGCCAACAAAGGGTATATAACAAAGTATTGAGAAACTTTTGTTATTGACCAAATACTTATTTTCCACCATAATTTGCAAATAAATTCATAAAAAATCCTACAATGTGATTTTCTGGATTTTATTTTCTCATTTTGTCTGTCATAGTTGACATGTACCTATGATGAAAATTACAGGCCTCTCTCATCTTTTTAAGTGGGAGAACTTGCACAATTGGTGGCTGACTTTCCCCACTGTATGTGGGTTATGGAAAGGGGTGTATTTAAAAGGGTGAGGGTGGGGGTATAATGAGGGAAGAATGGTTTAGGGGGTGAGGATGACTTTAGGGGTGGAGGGGGAGAGAATGAGGGGTGAGAATTGAAACATTTTATGGTTTAAAGAAATGATGCAAAGGAGGTGGCGAACAAGTCCGGCTGCTCAGCTGATTGGTTGACATATTGTCAATGGAGAAATATTGTGATTAAACTTAAAAAGAGAAATAAATTATATTAAACAAAGATAAATTACATAAAACACAATGGAAAAATACTTTGGAGTACTTTCAATGATATCATGTGCAGAAAACCCAATTCATCTCCATCGTTCATTGAAGTTGATGGATAATTTATAACAAAAGCTTTCGATATTGCCAATCATTTCAATGACTATTTCACTACTAAAGTGGAAAAACTCAGACGTGAAAAGAAAACATTGAACAGTGAACCATCATATTTTTGTATAAAAGTTATAATAATGAAAGAAGGATTGCTGTTGTTATCCATCAATAATGATAAGCCACCAGGTATAGACAACCTTGATGGTAAACTATTGAGAATGGTAGCAGACTGTGTTATATAATATATGCCATTTAGCAGATGCTTTTATCCAAAGCGACTTAGTAATGAGTGCATACATTTAAAAGAAGAAATGTATGTATGGTCCCGGGAATCGAACCCACAATATTGGCTTTGCAAGCACCATGCTCTACCAACTGAGCCGTATTGTCACCCCTATTTGCTATATCTTTAACCAAAGCCTAAAGGAGTGTGTGTGTCCACAGGCGTGGAAGGAAGCTAAAGTAATCCCACTGCCTAAAAATAGTAAAGCACCCTTTGCTGGCTCTAACAGCCGCCTAATCAGTTTGCTGCCTATTCTTAGCAAACTGATGGAGAGGATTGTGTTTACATTTACATCTACATTTTCGTCATTTAGCAAATACAATGCTATTTTTCAGAGAACAAGTTAACTACTGACTTTCAGCATGCATATAGATAAGGGCACTCAACTTGTACTGCACTGACTCAGATGACTGATGATTGGTTAATGGAAATGGATAATAAGTTGGAGCTGTATTGTTAGATTTCAGTGCAGCCTTTGATGTTATTGATCATAAATTGTTATTGAAAAAACTAACTTGCTGTGGCTTTACATCACCTGCCATCACATGGTTGGAGAGTTACTTATCCAATAGAACCCAGAGAATATTCTTCAATGGAAGCTTCTCTAACATCAGATATGTACAGTGCGGTGTCCCTCAGGGCAGTTGCCTTGGGCCGTTAATCTTCTCTATTTTTACACAAAGCTAGAATTACTATATATACGGCTGATTCCACACACTACATGTCAGCACCCAAAGCCAGTGAGCTCACTGAAATTCTAAACAAGGAGTTACAGTCAGTATCAGAATGGGTGATTTAATAATAAACGGGTCTTAAATACATCTAAAACTAAAAGCATTGTTTGGTTCATAACATTGAGTATGTTTACATGCACAGTAATAATTCGATATTAAACTGATTATGGAAAAGTCATATAAAAATCGAAATAAGCATATGCTGATTAAAACACCTGGTTTGCTGGGCAATCTTAAGAATTATTAGGACATGTAAACACCTTAATCGGCGTTCCAGTGGTGTATTTGATCTGCGCATGTGCTAGCACCGGTAGCGCAAATCTCCCTCTTTAGCGCGAGTGAAGTGTCTTAGAAGTTGTTTTCACATACAAACTTTATATGTCCGAACTCAGAATCAAATTTGCTTCCCAAAAATAACATGTGGTAGAACGTTTATTTTGATTGGCGATTTTCTACATTTATCAGAGTGCCATCAGGTAGTCTGATTTCAGATGTGTCCATGTAAACAGGATTATTAGGGAAATCATTCTTCTTCCAAAGCATGTAAGCATTTTAATCAAACTATTATATTAATCTGACTATCCACAATAATTTCAGTATTGTTTGCATATAACCATACTCATTCTCTAAGACCTAAACTTCAACTGGATTTGAACATAAAGGGTGTGACCATTGTGCAAGTTGATGAAGCCAAACTCCTAGGTATAACATTGGATGGTCAATTATCATGGGCAAGACATATTAACAAAGTTGTTGTGAAGATGGTGAGGGGAATGTCAACTGTACTAGTTGTTCAGGCTTTGGTCTTGTCCCATCTTGATTACTGTCCGTTAATATGGTCATGTGCTGCAAACAAAGACCTAGCAAAGCTGCAGCTGGCTCAAAACAGAGCAGCACGTCTTGCCTTTTAACTGCACATACAGAACTAACATCAACAACATGCATGCCAGCCTTTCCTGGTTGACGGATGACGAGAGATTAACTGCTTCTCTTCTAGTTTTTATGAGGAATATTACTGTGAAAACTTCCAGATTGTCTGCATAATCAAATAACATTCAGCTCAGACACCCATACATACCCCACAAGACATGCTACCAGGGGTCTGTTCAGACCCCAAGTCCAAAACGAATTGACGGCAACGCACAGTTTTATACAGAGCCATGATTGCATGGAACTCCCTTCCATCTCCAATTACTCAAGCAAACAGCAAAATTACCTTTAAAAAAACGGATAAAAAAACAACTAATGGAACGGCGGGGACGGTGAGGGGACACACGCGCACACACACACACTCTAACACACACACACACTCTAACACACACGACACACAACACAACACACACCAACACACACACACAAACACAACCACAACAAACACACACAACAACACACACAACACAACACACAACACACAACACAACAACACACACACACACCAACACAACACACACCAACACACACACACACAACACACACACACCACACACACACACACAACACACACACAACACACACACACACACCTAACACAACACACAACACACACACACAAACACTAAACACAAACACACAACACACAAACACAACACACACCACACACACAACACACACACACACACACGACCACACACACATACAACACACTACCACACACACAACACACACACAAACACTAACACACACACACAACACACACACACAACACACACACACACATTCTAACACACACACACACACTCTAACACACACACACACACTCTAACACACACACACTCTAACACACACACACACACACTCTAACACACACACTAACACACACACACACACTCTAACACACACACACACTCTAACACACACACACTCTAACACACACACACACACTAACACACACACACACACACACACACTCTAACACACACATACTTTTTTGTTGTATTGTTTGTATAATGTTTTAGTTGCATTGTTTGGATATCGTTGTATTTTAAATTTGTATGACTTTCCTTGTCTATCAGTGTTTTGTTACTTGTCATGTTTTATGTTTTTTGTGGACCCCAAGAAGAGTAGCTGCTGCTTCTGCAAAAGCTAATGGGGATCATAATAAACAAAACAAAATAAAAGGATGAGGGTGAGAGTAGGGGGAAAGAGGTAATTAAAGGATTATGATGAACTGCACTGGCTCAGTGGGAGGACAGGTGGCTCTGAGGTCTGTTTTGGACAGGTGGCTCTGAGGTCAGCTCACAGCTGGAGGGCACACGCATTCGCGCACACACACGAAGGGAGTAGTTGAGTTGATGAACAGAAGTTGTGACTTATCATTGATTGACTGGGAAGCCATTTAGCTAGTAAGTTCAGCTCAGCGCATGGGTTTCAGTTAGACTAGACATACACTGTACATACATTCATCATACACATAAGTGTGCGCACATGTGTATATGTTACATTTGTGGCTGATTTCACTTTCACTCTGACTGTCCTTTGCCATTGCAGATCTGCGGATCCCTCTCATGTGGAAAGACACGGAGTACTTCAAGAACAAAGGAGGTGAGGAGTCGGTGTGGTAGAACTGGTGTGAATAGATTCATGTCAGTGTGGTAGAACTGGTATAAATAGACTCATCAATGATTCATTTCAGTGTGGTAGAAGTGGTGTGAATAGACTCATCAATGATTCATGTCAGTGTGGTAGAACTGGTGTTAATAGATTCATCAATGATTCATGTGCTATTATCTGTCGCTCTGAGTTTGTGTGAAGAGATGTGAGTCGACTGAGTAAGTGAAGCCATGTGAATCGAATATAATTTAGGTAAAGCCTCCCAGAGTAGGAGGGCTGACCTAGAATTAGTTTCACCTTTTAGATAATAATGAATAACATTGAATGGACAGGTGGGGACCTGATCCTAGATCAGCACTCCTACTCTGAGATGCTTTATGGAAACAGGCCCTGGGAAATAACTCTTAAGTATACAAACTAAAGCAATGAACATGTGAGCATAACAGTTCATGCTCTTTTAAAAACACTTGTAGATCTTAAGTTCTATACGGCTGTTGAAATGAATGTACATGTTTCTATTTTTCCCTTGGTAAAGTCAGCAGCTCACTGACAAGCAGACATTCCTACAGTAAGTAATTTGGTATGATCTGGCTTAGAAACCTGCTGCACAGACAGCCCTCTTCTGTTCTGTTGTCTTTGCCAGTGCTACTGAAGCAGAGAGGCCTGGGTCTGCTTAGGATCCGGTAATTGTAGTTCTAGGTGCTCTTTTGATACCGCTGTGTTATGGTTTATGTTGACTGCTACATGTAAAGGTCAAAACGTTATGGTAAAAAAAAGAACGTGCTGAAACCCAACTCCTTAGTGAGGTCTGCCCCTCACCGACAACGGGCATGAATTAATCTGCATGACCTAATAGATCTAATGCATATTAATAAACTCCGGGGACAGGAGTCTTGGTTGCCCAAGACGGCAAGCACAGATTGTGTGCTTTTGATCAGAGGTGGAAAAAGTACCCAATTGTCATACTTAAGTAAAGGTACCTTTAATAGAAAATGACTCAAGTGAAAGTCACCCAGTAAAATACTACTTGAGTAAAAGTCTAAAAGTATTTGGTTTTAAATATACTTAAGTATCAAAAGTATAAATGATTTCAAATTCCTTATATTAAGCAAAGCAGACGGCACCATTTTCTTGTTTTTAACATTTACGGATCGCCAGGGGCACACTCCAGCATCCTTTACAAACGATACATTTGTGTTTAGTGGGTCTGCCAGATCAGAGGCAGTAGGAGGGACCACGTGTTCTCTTAATAAGTGCGTGAATTTGACAATTTTTCTGTCCTGCTAAGGATTCAAAATATAACGAGTACTTTTGGGTGTCAGGGAAAATGTATGGAGTAAAAAGTACATTATTTTCTTTAGGAATGTAGTGAATTAAAAGTTGTCAAAAATATAAATAGTAAAGTAAAGTACAGATACCCACCCAAAAATGACCTAAGCAGTACTTTAAAGTATTTTTACTTAAGTACTTTACACCACAGCTTTTGATACACGCACGCGCGCGCACACACACGCACTCACACACCCGCACTCACACTCCCAAATACATTTAGCGTAAAATGATACACTCACACACCACGCTGCATGTGAAGAACCCACTTAAAGCTACTTAGGCCAGACTCTCACAGTGCGGATGTCCAAGTCCAACAGCTGCTAGAGTTGGTGTTGTTCCTCCCAGTCTGTCCAGTGTGAGAGCCAAACCCACGATTCTCCAATAATCTACTCTGTAGCCTCCGTCTGTTTAAAACATCCACAGAGGGTGCAGGTAGTGCCAGAGGAGTTCTCAAGTGGGGAAATCTAGTCAAATCTAGTCAAATGTCTTCCACATGCTGCTTCTCACACCTCCCTCTCACTGCTCTCTCTCTGTCCCCCCTTCTCTCTTTACCTCTCCCCCCCTCTGTCTCTCTCTACCTCTCCCTTCTCTCTCTCTCTGTACCTCTCTCAGAGCTGCATCGGTGTGCAGTGTTCTGTCTGCTCCAGGTGGGAGCGGAGATTCACGACACAGACATGGTGATGGTGGACCGGACGCTCACCGATATCTGCTTTGACAACACCATCGTCTTGTAAGTCCTATTTTCCTGTTGGCTTGTGTGTTTACACAATTATTGGCAAAAGAGCTAATCTGATTGGTCAAAAGACCAAATAGTGGAAAAATATCAGAATTGGGCTGCCTGTGTAAACACAACCTTGCTATCTTGTCTTTCACATAGTGAGTATTGTTTGGTCTTTATAAGGGCATGTTTATTTAATGTCATGATTGTATCATAAAGGTAGATAAATGGATATATTTTGAAATCCTGTATCAGTAACTGATACATATACACAGACTGTACAAACCATTATGAACACCATTACATAGACTGACCAGGTGAATCCAGGTGAAAGCTATGATCCCTTATTGAAATCCACTTCAATCAGTGTAGATGAAGGGGAGGAGACAGGTTAAACTTTTTGGGCGACCTGACCAAATTCATAATTTTTGCATCTTTTACTTTCGGTTTTGTACACTAGCTTCAAACAACTGAAAATACAATATTTTGGGTTATGGAAAATATATTTCACAGTGGTTTAGATGGTACAATGACTCTCTACACAATGACTGCTTGTTTTGTCACATAAACAGAATCTAGGCAAACTATTAGAATTTTAGCAACCAGGAAATGGCGGTGCGATTTCTGCGTATTGCATATTTAAAGGTTTTAGGGTTAACTTGAGGGTTAAACTAATGGATTCTGGAAAATATAGTATCTTTCCCCATATTGAACAAAATGTAAGTGATTCATTAAATATAATTACATAGAATATTCACATACAGGTTTTGTTTTCCTTGTTCATTCATTTTAAGAGTTTGTCCTGAAAATCAATTGTTTCATCAATATTTCTATGCATGTGTATAATTACATTTTTGATGTTTTATGTACAAGATGTATACACTGAGTGTACAAAACATTAGGAACACTTGTTCTTTCCATGACATAGACGGACAGGTGAATCCAGGTGAAAGCTATGATCCCTTATTGATGTCACTTGTTAAATCCACTTCAATCAGTGTAGAAGGGGAGGAGACAGGTTAAATAAGCCTTCAGACAATTGAGACATGGATTGTGTATGTGTGCCATTCAGAGGGTGAATGGGCAAGACAAAATATTTAAGTGCCTTTGAACGGGGTATGGTAGTATGTGCCAGGCGCACCGGTTTGTGTTATGAACTGCAATGTTGCTGGGTTTTTCACGCTCAACAGTTTCCCATGTGTATCAAGAATTGTCCACCACCCAAAAGACATCCAGCCAACTTGACACAACTGTGGGAAGCATTGGAGTCAACATGGGCCAGCATTCCTGTGGAATTCTTTTGACACCTTGTAGAGTCCACGCCCTGACAAATTGAGGCTGTTCTGAGGGCAAAAGGGGCCGCAGCTGAATATTAGGAAGATGTTCTTAATCTTTTGTACACTGAGTGTACAATGTATAAGTATGTGTTTTCTGTGTGTGTGTTTGCATATAGTTGTTTTTGCTGTGTCCATGTGTGTGCATGTATAACTGTGTATCTCTCCATGTGTGTTTGCCGTGTGTAGCAGCGAGACCAGTCCAGGATTTGAGCTGCGCGTGGAGCTGTACAGCTGCTGTTCAGAGGAGGACTACTCGTCAGGGAGCACGCCCAGGAAACTAGCCAGCAAACTGAGCAGCTCTCTGGGCCGCTCGGCAGGGAAGAAGCTCCGCGTCGCCATGGACCCTGGAGCCTGCAGCCCTATCAGCAATGGAGGAGGAGCCACACTGCTGCTACCTCTGCCCTCAGTGGTGTGAGTGGGTTTATGTTGTACACACTGATATGTATTTCCAGGCATGTAGTGTACAATCATTCGTACAGACACACATATGCAATCACGCATGCAATGAAACACACACACAAATTCACTGGCGGACACACAGACGTGTGTGTATTTAGTCCCACAGTCCCACAGCTCACCAGTGCCTCTGCCATGTGTTCTGTCCACAGGGGACCGAAGTACCATCTCCTGGCCCACACCACCCTGTCACTGTCACACGTCCAGGACAGCTTCCGCACGCATGACCTCAACATCTCAGGCAACGGTAGGTCACAGTGGGGATGTGGTTAGTCCATGTGCAGTAAATATGGGTCAGACTTCTCTTTCTATCTCCCGTTCTTTCTCTCCCTCCCTCTGTGTCAGTACCTCTCTCTCTCTCTCTCTCTCTCTCTCTCTCTCTCTCTCTCTCTCTCTCAGCCCTCCACACCTCTCTGATTCAGAGGGGTTGGGTTAAATGCAGAAGACACATTTAGGCTGAATGCATTCAGTTGTGCAAATGACTAGTTTCCCATCTCTTTCTCTCTCTCTTTCTCCCCATCTCCCTCCCTCTCCCAGCAAGGATTTTAGCTGACTGACAGACTGTCATTGTCAAGGTCATAGTAATAAATCGGGGTCAGTGCTGTGTAAAACTCTAATGATGAGGTGTACAAGGGAGTAGACACCCTGACATGTGCTGCTGCTTTATTCATTGCCCCTTACGGCTGTAAGAAAGTTTGATGGGCACTCCACTGTTGTTCACGGCTCTCCCTGCAGCTGTGAGACTTTTATTCCCTGCTATTGTGTGTGTGTGTGGGGGGGGGGGTAGATTATTATTTTTAGTTTAATTTCTTTCTCCCTCTATCCCCCTCTCTGTCTCTCCCTGTAGAGGACTGTTCCTACTGGGTGCCTCTCTACGGCAGTGTGTGTTGTCGCCTGGCTGCTCAGCCTCACTGTATGACCCAACAGATGATGAGCGGCTGCTTGAAGGTCAAGGTGAGGGTGTTTGTGTCTGTCTGTGTGCGTGTGTGTGTGTTTGGGAAGATAGCAAGGCATGGCTCTCTCTCTAATTAGCGCCTCTGTCTCTCACAGCAGTTGGGAGGTGACCTTCAGAGTTGGACAAACATCTACGGCGTCCTTAAAGGGACAAACCTTTTCTGTTACCACCGGCAAGAGGATATGGAGGCTAACGTAGAGCCAGTTTTTACCATTGCCATCAACAAGGTCAGTCAGTGGATGAAAAAAAGTTTTTCCCACATATGCACACTCTCAACATGAAATAAAAAAGCATGCTAGCTGGTGGCCCCTGACCCACAGTACAAAGCCCGGTTTCAGCTTCAGACAGTGAGCGACAGTTCTGTGGAATCATGCATCAATCAGCTGCTCTCAGGATCAAGCTGAAACCTGTGAGGAACAGGACACTGCCTCCACCTACTGGTGGGGATGGGGAAATACAGTACCAGTCAAAAGTTTGGACACCTTTATTTATTACTATTTTCTACATTGTAGAATAATAGTGAAGACATCAAAACTATGAAATAGCACATATGGAATCAGGTAGTAACCAAAAAAGTGTTAAACAAATGCAAATATATTTTATATGTGAGATACCCACCCTTTGCCTTGATGACAGCTTTGCACACTCTTGGCATTCTCTCAACCAGCTTCACGTGGAATGCTTTTCCAACAGTCTTGAAGGAGTTTCCACATATGCTGAGCACTTGTTGTCAGCTTTACCTTCACTCTGCCTCCGACTCATCCCAAACCATCTCAATTGGGTTGAGGTCAGGTGATTGTGGAGGCCAGGTCATCTGATACAGCACTCCCATCACTCTCCTTCTTGGTCAAATAGCCCTTACACAGCCTAGAGGTGTGTTGGGTAATTGTCCTGTTGAAAAACAAATGATAGTCCATCTAAGCCCAAACCAGATGGGATGGCGTATTGCTGCAGAATGCTTTGGTAGCCATGCTGGTTAAGTGTGCCTTGAATTCTAAATAAATCACAGACAGTGTCACCAGCAAAGCACCCCCACACCATAACACCTCCTCCTCCATGCTTTACGGTGGGAACTACACATGCGGAGATCATCCGTTCACCCACACCGCATCTTACAAAGACACAGCGGTTGGAACCCAAAATCTCAAATTTAGACTCCAGACCAAAGGACACATTTCTACCGTTCTAATGTCCATTGCTCGTGTTTCTTGGCCCAAGCAGGTCTCTTCTTCTTATTGGTGTCCTTTAGTAGTGCTTTCTTTGCAGCAATTCGACCATGAAGGCCTGATTCACACAGTCTCCTCTGAACAGTTGATGTTGAGATGTGTCTGTTACTTGAACTCTGTGAAGCATTTATTTGGGCTGCAATTTCTGAGGCTGGTAACTCTAATGAACTTATCCTCTGCAGCAGAGGTAACTCTGGGTCTTCCTTTCCTGTGGCGGTCCTCATGAGAGCCAGTTTCATCATAGTGCTTGATGGTTTTTGTGACTGCACTTGAAGAAACTTTCTTGAAATATTCCGTATTGACTGACCTTCATGGCTTAAAGTAATGATGGACTGTCATTTCTCTTTGCTTATTTGAGCTGTTATTGCCATAATATGGACTTTGTATTTTACCAATTAGGGCTATCTTCTGTATACCCCCCCTACCTTGTCACAACACAAATGATTGGCTCAAACGCATTAAGAAGGAAAGAAATTCCACAAATCAACTTTTAAGAAGGCACACCTGTTAATTGAAATGGATTCCAGGTGACTACCTCATGAAGCTGGTTGAGAGAATGCCAAGAGTGTGCAAAGCTGTCATCAAGGCAAAGGGTGGCTATTTGAAGAATCTCAAATATATTTTGATTTGTTTAACACTTTTGGTTACTACATGATTCCATATGTGTTATTTAATAGTTTTGATGTCTTCAATATTATTCTACAATGTAGAAAATAGTAAAAATAAAGAAAAACCCTTAAATGAGTAGGTGTGTCCAAACTTTTGACAGTGTACATTGGAGTACTGTCAGTTCCCACACCTTATACCAGTCATTTCCTTTCAAATCAGTGAAGGGAAGTGAGCAACTGCACACTTTGGGAGGAATGAGAGATAATTGGGATGTAGCTGATAACTGGGACAGATTCATGCTTGAGGTTACTTGAGTGGACTTGACTTATATGTCACTCACTGCTCTTTGTGTCAGTAAGTGCATTCACGCACTGTGAGTTGACGAGAAAATAAATGACTATGCTTAAATGTATATTTTTGGGGGATATTGAAACATTTGGTGAAATGGCAACATCAGTAGCTGATTGTGTCTGTGTGCGTGTCCTGTATGTCAGAAGACAATAATAGGGGTGTCGGAGAAGGACCTCCACAGTAAGGCCCAGAGTATCTGTATCAGTAACCATTATGGAGGAGAGGAGGTGACACATACACTCTCGGCAGACAGTCGTGAAGACACACACCGCTGGATGGAGGCCTTCTGGCAACAGTTCTATGACATGAGTAAGTAGGCTGATCACATGATTAGGGGCCTGAGTTCTTCATTCATTGGTGAGCTCAGGAAAAACTCCTGCCCTTGAGTAGACATGATACACACCTTACACTCTAGGTCCTGATATGCTCTTGTTCGTTTGCTCATTGGCTCCTGATGTGTCATTAGTGGTTTTCTCAGCTTGATTGGATGTTGGAAGATGATTGACAACTTCCTTCTTCCCTGCAGGCCAATGGAAGCAGTGCTGTGACGACTTGATGAAGATTGAGCTGCCATCGCCCCGGAAACCAGCCCTGGTCGCATCGAAACAGGGTTCTCTTTACCACGAAATGGGTAAGACAGCGACCCAAACTGATTCAAGAACTGTTACTAATATTTTCCAAAATACTTTTTATATGATTCAGTAAGATGTTGTGGACACTTACACTTGAGTTTCTTTTCACTTTTATTTATTAAATCTAGTAATTTGATAGTTAGTTTATAGGTTTAGGGTTACAAAAATTCTAGCTTAATAATAGGTTAATAGGTTTACAAAAACAAATAAAATCAATGAAATATATACTGAACAAAAATATCAACGCAACATGCAACAATTTCAACGATTTTACTCAGTTACAGTTCATATAAGGAAATCAGTCAATATAAATAAATTCATTAGGCACTAATCTATAGATTTCACATGACTGGGCAATGGCGCAGCCATGGGTGGGCCTGGGAGGGCTGGGGAGCCAGGCCCAGCCAATCAAAATGAGTTTTTCCCCAGAAAAGGGCTTTATTACAGACAGAAATACTCCTCGATTTCATCAGCTGTCCGGGTGGCTGGTCTCAGACGATCCCGCAGGTAAAGAAGCTGGATGTGGAGGTCCTGGGCTGGTTTAGTTACACGTGGTCTGCAGTTGTGAGACCAGTTGGACGTACTGCCAAATTCTCTAAAACAACGTTGGAGGTGGCTTATGGTAGAGAAATGAACATTACATTCTCTGTCAACAGCTCTGGTGGACATTCCTGCAGTCAGCATGCCAATTGCACACTCCCTCAAAACTTGAGACATCTGTGTCATTGTGTTGTGTGACAAAACTGCACATTTTAGAGTGGCCTTTTATTGTCCCAAGCACAAGGTGCACCTGTGTAATGATCATGCTCTATAATCAGCTTCTTGATATGCCACACCTGTCAAGTGGATGGATTATCTTGGCAAAGGAGAAATGCTCACTAACAGGGACGTAAACAAATTTGTGGCCAAAATTTGAGAGAAATAACCTTTTTGTACGTATGGATCATTTCTGGGATCTTTTATTTCAGCTCATGAAACATGGGACCAACGCTTTACATTTTGTTCAGTATATTTCCAGAGGATGATAGTCCCCTTAACAGCATACGTGTTTCTGACTGTTCTAACAGTGGTGGTCCATACGCATGAGCTCTCCATCAGACTCTATTCTACGCTGCCTGCTACCTCACTAGCACACCAACCAACCTCTCTGTACTATGGATGGAAGTGTTATTTTCTCTGACATGCTAACTCACTCTCTCTCTCTCTCTCTCTCTTCCTTTCTCTCTCTCTCCTTGTGTGTCTCTCAATCCTTCCTTTTTGGCTATCACTGTCCCATCTTTCTTCCCTGTCACTCTCCCTTGTTCCTGTGCTCAAATTACATTTCCCCCCTTTTTTCCACCGTTATCATTCTATTCCCATCATTGTTAATTTTACACTCCAATCGAATTCTAATCTTCATACATTCTAAATTAACTCATTTTTACCGTGTTATGCACATCATTTTATTCCCCAAATCATATATCACAACTTTATTTCACCTGTCAATGCACATAACACCTGCCCACCACCACCCTTCCTCACCCCCCTGCCTCATGGGTTGCCCCCTCCCCCTCCCCCTGGACCCTAGCCCCCCTCACCACCCCATCCTGTGAGGGTATCTTGCTGCAGGATAATGCTGTGTCTGCTGAGATTCGTGCTCTGCTCTCCTCCTATTACAATGACAGGTGAAGTACCAGTGGGGTCCACTCACACACTGCAGTGTTGAACCTGACCCCCCCCCCCCCCCCCCAACTAGCACCACCAAGTCTAGGCCTAACCTCTCTAAACTGTATTCAACTGTCTCAACATTATTAGCATGGTCTGTCCAACCACAATAATGACTTTCCTCCGCTCCTCCTAGTTATTGACACCTCTGATGACATCAACACGGTGACGAACATCCTGACGCAGCGGATGCAGGAGCTGGAGCTGAGGAGCCAGCTGGGGACCTCTCCTCACTGGATGTCCCTGTTCGAGGAGTCTCCTGGTCGCCCCCACACCCGCCACTGCCTCCCCCACAGCCCCCTGCGTTGCCCCTGGCCCGGCCTGCTCTCCTCAGACGCCAGCCTGACCTCTGACAGCGACAGCCCCTGCAGCACCAGCCCTTGCTCCCGCCACAGTGGCTGGGCCAAGCCCCTCTCCCTCTCCTCCCCCTCCTCACGCTTCCGTCCCCGCACCCTCTCCCTGGACGCCAAGCTCAGCACCCTCAGGGGCAGGGGGTATGGAGGGGTGTTACAGTGCTCCTGTCAGCCCCCCTCCTCCTCCTCCCTTGCCCCCATCCCAGCCCAAGGCGTTCCCCAGGCCACCCTGTCCTGCTCCAGCTCTACCTCCAGTAACAGCTCCAGCGAGGGCAGCCACAGCCCTGAGTTGTCAGACGGCACCTCTTTCTCACGGCCCTCTTCGGCCCGTCGGAGTCTCAGGAACTTGAGGGCTAAACTGGACCCCCGAAATTGGCTCCAGAGCCAGGTATAACCCAGCTCAGACCCCCAGATCACCCAAGGTCCTGGTAAGAACTGACAGGAAGGAAGCCCCCACTTCCTCTCTGAAGAAAGAGCCTTGGTATTAACTGGAATGACTTCACTCTAATGACATGATAATTGTGAATTGTCAGTGTATGGGAATGTTTAGTATCTGAATGTGGTCATAGGGTTGTTGGTGTTACTTGTGATCTATCCAAATGGCTACACCCACCATCGCCTGTAATATCAATTCAAGCCTGACAGAAAAAGTCCTCTGAAACTACTAATACACTGATTTGCTTATTGCATGATTGTGCTCGAAGTCAAGGAATGTGTTGTTTCAGATCTTTAAACTGCTCAGAAAGTGAATGAATTGAAAGCTCAACTTAATGCAACTGTGCTCCCATTAATTTACTGTGCTACTTGTTGATACTGTGATAACATCAGGATCACTTACTCTGCTGAGTTTCCAGAACCTCCCCTATATTCATTAACACATTGTAGGCCTAATACACATCAACCAATATTTATGAGAGCTCACCAGGACATTCTGTTAAGAAACTGACTGCAATTATTTGTACCAATGTACAGTGAGGGAAAAAAGTATTTGATCCCCTGCTGATTTTGTACGTTTGCCCACTGACAAAGACATGATCAGTCTATAATTTGAATGGTAGGTTTATTTGAACAGTGAGAGACAGAATAACAACAAAAAATCCAGAAAAACGCATGTCAAAAATGTTATAAATTGATTTGCATTTTAATGAGGGAAATAAGTATTTGACCCCTCTGCAAAACATGACTTAGTACTTGGTGGCAAAACCCTTGTTGGCAATCACAGAGGTCAGACATTTCTTGTAGTTGGCCACCAGGTTTGCACACATCTCAGGAGGGATTTTATCCCACTCCTCTTTGCAGATCTTCTCCAAGTCATTAAGGTTTCGAGCCTGACGTTTGGTCATTGTCATGCTGGAATACCCATCCACAACCCATTTTCAATGCCCTGGCTGAGGGAAGGAGGTTCTCACTCAAGATTTGACGGTACATGGCCCCGTCCATCGTCCCTTTGATGCGGTGAAGTTGTCCTGTCCCCTTAGCAGAAAAACATCCCCAAAGCATAATGTTTCCACCTCCATGTTTGACGGTAGGGATGGGTTCTTGGGGTCATAGGCAGCATTCCTCCTCCTCCAAACACGGCGAGTTGAGTTGATGCCAAAGAGCTCGATTTTGGTCTCATCTGACCACAACACTTTCACCCAGTTCTCCTCTGAATCATTCAGATGTTCATTGGCAAACTTCAGACGGCCCTGTATATGTGCTTTCTTGAGCAGGGGGACCTTGTGGGCGCTGCAGGATTTCAGTCCTTCACAGCATAGTGTGTTACCTATTGTTTTCTTGGTGACTATGGTCCCAGCTGCCTTGAGATCATTGACAAGATCCTCCCGTGTAGTTCTGGGCTGATTCCTCACCGTTCTCATGATCATTGCAACTCCACGAGGTGAGATCTTGCATGGAGCCCCAGGCCGAGGGAGATTGACAGTTATTTTGTGTTTCTTCCATTTGCGAATAATCGCACCAACTGTTGTCACCTTCTCACCAAGCTGCTTGGCGATGGTCTTGTAGCCCATTCCAGCCTTGTGTAGGTCTACAATCTTGTCCCTGACATCCTTGGAGAGCTCTTTGGTATTGGCCATGATGGAGAGTTTGGAATCTGATTGATTGATCGCTTCTGTGGACAGGTGTCATTTATACAGGTAACAAGCTGAGATTAGGAGCACTCCCTTTAAGAGTGTGCTCCTAATCTCAGCTCGTTATCTGTATAAAAGACACCTGGGAGCCAGAAATCATTCTGATTGAGAGGGGGTCAAATACTTATTTCCCTCATTAAAATGCAAATCAATTTATAACATTTTTGACATGCGTTTTTCTGGATTTTTTTTGTTGTTATTCTGTCTCTCACTGTTCAAATAAACCTACCATTAAAATTATAGACTGATAATTTCTTTGTCAGTGGGCAAACGTACAAAATCAGCAGGGGATCAAATACTTTTTTCCCTCACTGTATGGAGTAATTATAATGAATTGAAGGAAGCCAAAGGTAATGTACTACATAATCACGAGAAGCCACATTAACTCCTATGTTACACTGCCTCATTCAAGTACCGTGTGCAAATGTAGAACCTGGCAATGTGCATACATTGTTGATTTATAGCTTAGTTTGTGGTACTACAGTCATAAAGTTATGCAAACCGGTCCCAGAATTCTGCTGCAATACGATATGAAACATCGCAATCGATCAAGTATGCAATGCAGGAAAAATTGATCTATAGAAAATATTGTGTTGTGTTTTGTCTTAAGATAGTGTAGTCTTTCACCTAATGCCAACCAGCTGATTGTATTGGTTGTTAAGTGATGATGAGGTGGGCAGGGGTAGGTGTGTCCCTGGTCTGTGCAGTAAAGCCTATCAATCCCTCTGTGTTTCTAATGGACTTTATAACACGGTACTGTGTCCCAAGGGCTCACAGCTGGCCCACTCCTTTTTACTAAGAGTAAAACTTTAAAGGCTTCAAAGTGGCATTTGTTACTGGAAAGTTTTTTTCTAAGTTAACAAAACTCTTCTTCCTCTTCTTCTTTTTGTTATACATTATACATGATTGATTTTGTTATAAATACAGCTATATTGATTTATTTTAACAGATGATTGCATATCTATACCTGTGTCTAATAGATAACATTGATTGTCTTGCAAGAGTGTCTTGTGTTAGCAGACTGTCTGCATGCACATCATCCTAGGGGAGAAATAAATAAGAAGTATCAGTCGTTTTAAATACTGTATGTAACATAATGATAATAAATGATTTATCCATTCAGAACAGCCTTGGTTTATTTCTTCTGTCATGTCTTTCATTATAGTGGAAATGATATACATTGTATAATCACAGTAGAAATGGCACATCAGTAAGACATGGAGGATTAAAGCAATCCACTAACTCTAGATCAAACATCACCCTCGATCACACATCATGTGCTTTTTGTCAATGTTGACAAACTGTGTCAGTTGACCAAAAATGTATGCCAACATAGTCAAGTCACATTTTATTTACAGTGCATTTCACGACACACTTTACTAAAAATAAATAAATAAAACAAGAGTGCATGTCAACGTAGTGTTTTTAAAAAATAATTTAGAGACTGAATTAATATTTCATCCATTTAAAGTTGAAGTCTGAATGTACTCCAAGAGCCATTGACCTAGTTATCACGATCATTCTCTGCACAAGGAATCCAAGGCTGCATCCCGATTCTCCGTCTCCCAAAGGGTGCACTTTCACACATTAACAGTCATGGATTTTAAAGCATTGGATTGGTAAAATCATTGGCTAGACTGAGTTTCCACCATTGTTGAATCTATGATGTGGAGTGTAAAAGTGCACACTTTGGGAAAAGGCTGAAGAATCGGGACGCAGCCAAACTGTCACATGAATCTTTCAATGGGAATTTGTGCTTGTTGAAAATCTCCTTTAAAAGAAAAACCACACAATAACTGGATTGTCTCATTTCAAGAATGCGCTAACACTTTTATTCTATTGAGAGTGTGATGGATTATACAGTGCAGGGTTTTTTCTGGATTAAAATGGGTTTAGGTGGGGGGCGTGGCCAATGGTGCGGTCGTTGATTTAACCTCTTAAGGATCGGACCCTTTTTTTCAATTTTCGCCTGAAATGACATACCCAAATCTAACTGCCTGTAGCTCAGGACCTGAAGCAAGGATATGCATATTCTTGATACCATTTGAAAGGAAACACTTTGAAGTTTGTGGAAATGTGAAATGAATGTAGGAGAATATAACACATTAGATCTGGTTAAAGATAATACAAACAAAAAACATGAGTTGTCTTTTTTTTGGTTCCATCTTTGAAATGCAAGTTTAGGCTGCAATAAAATATTGCAGTTTAGGCGCAATTTATATTTTGGCCACTAGATGGCAGCAGTGTGTGTGCAAAGTTTCAGCTTGATCCAGTGAAGCGTTGCAATACTGCACTATTTTGTATCAAGTCTGCCCAAATGTGCCGAATTGGTCAATTGATACATTTTCAAGTACATATAGAGAACATATAGAAATGATATGGTAATACAACATGTAAGTTTACACACTCCCAGGAATGTCATACATGATGGATCATTAGCTTATACACTACCTTTCACACATCTAGATGGCCGGGCGGGGTGTGGAGCCAGAGACAGCAGGGGTTCAAACTGTAGAACCCAGTTCCTACATTTGAATACAAAAACAGATTTTATCAAACAAAACTATGCTACATTTTATCTCTGGGACACTTAGGATGACAAATCAGAGCAAGATTACTGAATGTAAGTACATTATTTACCTTCAGAGGTGAATGTATCAAACCAGTTGGCTTGATAAGTTTTCTGTTGTTTTGCACTCTACACAAACAATAGCATGGTATTTTTTCACTGTAATTGCTACTGTAAATTGGACAGTGCAGTTAGATTAACAAGAATTTAAGCTTTCTGCCCATATAAGACATGTCTATGTCCTGGAAAGTTTGCTGTTACTTACAACAGTCATGCTAATCACATTAGCGCACGTTAGCTCAACCGTCCCGTATATGGGACACCGATCCCGTAGATGTTAAACATTTAGAGGCCCTCCTGTTGGCCCCAGTGACAAAATGTAGCTGTTTTAAACCAAATGTCCTACAATTCTACACATTTTGCCATAGTTTATGCTATCTGAGTGACTCAGACAACAAAATCTATCCTCCCTGACTGTCTAGCATTTATTTCAGTGATTGTTAGTTCTCAAATATACATTTATTTAAAAATATATAGGCCCATTATCTTTTCTACATACTTTATATCTGGTTTTAGTCGTTTAAGTTTACACCCCAAAAACATTTCCATCCCAGAAAAATAAGCGGCCCGAAAAAACACTTAGGTGGCCCGCCCAAGACTTTTCTATGCAGAAAAAACCCTGCAGTGTTACAAAATATATAGTCTCCACCAGCTGGCTCTCTCCCTCTCGCTTAGCCTGGGGACAATGTTATAAAAGATATGGATGAGTCATGCCTTCTGTGTCTGTCTTTCTCTGTGTAGGTGTTGTGCTGTCACATTATTTCCCCTAAGGGAACTACAGTGGGGAGAACAAGTATTTGATACACTGCCGATTTTGCAGGTTTTCCTACTTACAAAGCATGTAGAGGTCTGTAATCTTTATCATAGGTACACTTCAACTGTGAGAGACTGAATCTAAAACAAAATTCCAGAAAATCACATTGTATGATTTTTAAGTAATTAATTTGCATTTTATTGCATGACATAAGTATTTGATCACCTACCAACCAGTAAGAATTCCGGCTCTCACAGACCTGTTAGTTTTTCTTTAAGAAGCCCTCCTGTTCTCCACTCATTACCTGTATTAACTGCACCTGTTTGAACTCGTTACCTGTATAAAAGACACCTGTCCACACACTCAATCAAACAGACTCCAACCTCTCCACAATGGCCAAGACCAGAGAGCTGTGTAAGGACATCAGGGATAAAATTGTAGACCTGCACAAGGCTGGGATGGGCTACAGGACAATAGGCAAGCAGCTTGGTGAGAAGGCAACAACTGTTGGCGCAATTATTAGAAAATTGAAGAAGTTCAAGATGACGGTCAATCACACTCGGTCTGGGGCTCCATGCAAGATCTCACCTCGTGGGGCATCAATGATCATGAGGAAGGTGACGGATCAGCCCAGAACTACACGGCAGGACCTGGTTAATGACCTGAAGAGAGCTGGGACCACAGTCTCAAAGAAAACCATTAGTAACACACTACGCCGTCATGGATTAAAATCCTGCAGTGCACGCAAGGTCCCCCTGCTCAAGCCAGCGCATGTCCAGGCCCGTCTGAAGTTTGCCAATGACCATCTGGATGATCCAGAGGAGGAATGGGAGAAGGTCATGTGGTCTGATGAGACAAAAATAGAGCTTTTTGGTCTAAACTCCACTCGCCGTGTTTGGAGGAAGAAGAAGGATGAGTACAACCCCAAGAACACCATCCCAACCGTGAAGCATGGAGGTGGAAACATCATTCTTTTGGGGATGCATTTCTGCAAAGGGGACAGGACGACTGCACCGTATTGAGGGGAGGATGGATCGGGCCATGTATCGCGAGATCTTGGCCAACAACCTCCTTCCCTCAGTAAGAGCATTGAAGATGGGTCGTGGCTGGGACTTCCAGCATGACAACGAACCGAAACACACAGCCAGGGCAACTAAGGAGTGGCTCCGTAAGAAGCATCTCAAGGTCCTGGAGTGGCCTAGCCAGTCTCCAGACCTGAACCCAATAGAACATCTTTGGAGGGAGCTGAAAGTCCGTATTGCCCAGCGACAGCCCCGAAACCTGAAGGATCTGGAGAAGGTCTGTATGGAGGAGTGGGCCAAAATCCCTGCTGCAGTGTGTGCAAACCTGGTCAAGACCTACAGGAAACGTATGATCTCTGTAATTGCAAACAAAGGTTTCTGTACCAAATATTAAGTTCTGCTTTTCTGATGTATCAAATACTTATGTCATGCAATAAAATGCAAATTAATTACTTAAAAATCATACAATGTGATTTTCTGGATTTTTGTTTTAGATTCCGTCTCTCACAGTTGAAGATGATGATAAAAATTACAGACCTCTACATGCTTTGTAAGTAGGAAAACCTGCAAATTCGGCAGTGTATCAAATACTTGTTCTCCCCACTGTATGTTATTAATCTCCAGTCCAAGCAGGCCTCCCTAAGGTTTCTTATATATGTTTTAGCCAAGCAATAGCACACCTGATTCAACTAATGATCAAGCACTTGACTAGTTAAACCAGTTGTATTAATGCAGGGTTAGAACAGACACGTGCAGCTGTGGGGGCTCCCGAGGTACTGCCATATGAGAGTCTGCCTAATGTGAAAGAGCATTCCAACGATCACACAACTTAATATTTATCTTAATATTACATAAAAAACAAGGTATATTTTCCAGTCTTTAATGAATCCCGTAATGATGGGAATCTCAATATTCTGTCAATCATTACCAATGAGGGCATTTTGATGAATCATTTAAAATAACATACATGGATCACATCAGTTTATAATAGACAGTACAAGGAAATCCTGTTCATTGAGGGGGTGAATTATCTCCCTCACGTCCCCCAGTCTAACTCTGCAACAGATTCAACCTGGGGGTGCCAGCCTCTTCACGGCTCCTCTTCAGATTCAACCTGGGGGTGCCAGCCTCTTCATGTGGCTAGCAGGCGCTGCGTGTGTTGGACGCCCGTAGCGCCAATCTGGCCAAGGTCCTCCAGGCAAAGGTGGAGAAGCGTGCCGAGCAGGTGCCGGCTCTGTCGATGTACCCCGAAGCGATGCGGTGGAGCCGTTTCGCACCAAATGTGTGATAGTGTCCCGGCATTACCTGGTCCACCTGCTCACTATCCACCAGCCCCACCAGGCGCTCACAGCTGCTGACGTAGTCACTGACCCGGCTGGTGGGCAGCCAGTCGATCATGGCACCGTCGTAGACCACGTCCCCGCTGAACAGCATCTTGTTGTCCCCGTCGTGCAGGCAGATGCTTCCGCGGGAGTGGCCGGGCATGTGCAGCACCGTCAGCTGCCTGTCGCCCAGGTTGATGACATCACCTGAGGGAGAGCAAGGAGAGCGAGAGAGAGACGGGGAAAATGGACACATTGAGCAATAACATACTCCAGCTGCATTGCAGCACTGACACAGCAGAAGTGTATTGACCGGTGCACAAATTACAAAAGGAAAGGACACTATGTGGGGGGAGTTTGCTCCAACTTTGTCAAGTGTGCAGCAATGTGTGAAAATGAACCACAAGACTGGTCAAAAGACCTGCTATGATGAAGAATATGGATTAGGAGTGTGTGTGTTAGATGTCTTCATGGGTCCAAATTCCAAAATGGACCTGGATCTTTCCCATCCGGACCCAATATGTATATATTCAATGCTCAAAAAAATAAAGGGAACACTAAAATAACACATCTGAATGAATGAAATAATCTTATTAAATACTTTTTTCTTTACATAGTTGAATGTGCTGACAACAAAATCACACAAAAATTATCAATGGAAATCAAATGTATCAACCCATGGAGGTCTGATTTGGAGTCACCCTCAAAATTAAAGTGGAAAACCACACTACAGGCTGATCCAACTTTGATGTAATGTCCTTAAAACAAGTCAAAATGAGGCTCAGTAGTGTGTGTGGCCTCCACGTGCCTGTATGACCTCGCTACAACGCCTGGGCATGCTCCTGATGAGGTGGCGGATGGTCTCCTGAGGGATCTCCTCCCAGACCTGGACTAAAGCATCCGCCAACTCCTGGACAGTCTGTGGTGCAACGTGGCGTTGGTGGATGGAGCGAGACATGATGTCCCAGATGTGCTCAATTGGATTCAGGTCTGGGGAACGGGCGGGCCAGTCCATAGCATCAATGCCTTCCTCTTGCAGGAACTGCTGACACACTCCAGCCACATGAGGTCTAGCATTGTCTTACATTAGAAGGAACCCAGGGCCAACCGCACCAGCATATGGTCTCACAAGGGGTCTGAGGATCTCATCTCGGTACCTAATGGCAGTCAGGCTACCTCTGGCGAGCACATGGAGGGCTGTGCGGCCCCCCAAAGAAATGCCACCCCACACCATGACTGACCCACCGCCAAACCGGTCATGCTGGAGGATGTTGCAGGCAGCAGAACGTTCTCCACGGCGTCTCCAGACTCTGCCACGTCTGTCACATGTGCTCAGTGTAAACCTGCTTTCATCTGTGAAGAGCACAGGGCGCCAGTGGCGAATTTGCCAATCTTGGTGTTCTCTGGCAAATGCCAAACGTCCTGCACGACGTCCACAGGTGGGGGTTGTAAGCACAACCCCCACCTGTGGACGTCGGGCCCTCATACCACCCTCATGGAGTCTGTTTCTGACCGTTTGAGCAGACACATGCACATTTGTGGCCTGCTGGAGGTCATTTTGCAGGGCTCTGGCAGTGCTCCTCCTGCTCCTCCTTGCACAAAGGCGGAGGTAGCAGTCCTGCTGCTGGGTTGTTGCCCTCCTACGGCCTCCTCCACCCACACCATGTCTCACAACGACACAGCGGTTGGAACCAAAAATCTCCAATTTGGACTCCAGAACAGAGGACAGATTTCCACCGGTCTAATGTCCATTGCCCGTGTTTCTTGGCCCAAGCAAGTCTCTTCTTCTTATTGGTGTCCTTTAGCAGTGCTTTCTTTGCAGCAATTTGACCATGAAGGCCTGATTCATGAAGGCCTGAACAGTTGATGTTGAGATGTGTCTGTTACTTGAACTCTGTGAAGCATTTATTTGGGCTGCAATTTCTGAGGCTAGTAACTCTAATGAACTTATCCTCTGCAGCAGAGGTAACTCTGGGTCTTCCTTTCCTGTGGCGGTCCTCATGAGAGCCAGTTTCATCATATTGCTTGATGGTTTTTGCGACTGCACTTGAAGAAACTTTCAAAGTTCTTGAAATTTTTCTAAAAAATTTCTTAAAGTAATGATGGACTGTCGTTTCTCTTTGCTTATTTGAGCTGTTCTTGCCATAATATGGACTTGGTATTTCACCAAATAGGGCTATCTTCTGTATACCCCACTACCTTGTCACAACACAACTGATTGGCTCAAACACATTATGAAGGAAAGAAATTCCACAAATTAACTTTTAGGAAGACACACCTGTTAATTGGAATGCATTCCAGGTGACTACCTCATGAAGCTGGTTGAGAGAATGCCAAGAGTGTGCAAAGCTGTCATCAAGGCAAAGGGTGGCTCTTTGAAGAATCTCAAATCTCAAATATATTTTGATTTGTTTAACACTTTTTTGGTTACTACATGATATATATATATACAGCTCTGGAAAAAATCTCGCTCCCACTGTGAAATTTGGTGGAGGATCGGTGATGATCTGGGGGTGCTTCAGCAAGGCTGTAATCGGGCAGATTTGTCTTTGTGAAGGACGCATGAATCAAACCATGTACAAGGTTGTCCTGGAAGAAAACTTGCTTCCTTTTGCTCTGACATTGTTCCTCAACTCTGAGGATTGGTTTTTCCAGCAGGACAATGCGCCATGCCACACAGCCAGGTCAATCAAGGTGTGGATGGAGGACCACCAGATCAAGACCCTGTCATGGCCAGCCCAATCTCCAGACTTGAACCCCATTGAAAACTTCTGGAATGTAATCAAGAGGAAGATGGATGGTCACAAGCCATCAAACAAAGACGAGCTGCTTGAATTTTTGCGCCAGGAGTGGCATAATGTCAGAAGGATTACTGTTATACTATTCCAGGTATTCCTTAAAGAGGTAGGGTTTCAAGTGTCTCCGGAAGGTGGTCAGTGACTCCGCTGTCCTGGCGTCGTGGGGGAGCTTGTTCCACCATTGGGGTGCCAGAGCAGCGAATAGCTTTGACTGGGCTGAACGGGAACTGTGCTTCCGTAGAGGTAGGGGGGCTAGCAGGCCAGAGGTGGATGAACGCAATGCCCTCGTTTGGGTGTAGGGACTGATCAGAGCCTGAAGGTACGGAGGTGCCGTTCCCCTCACAGCTCCGTAGGCAAGCACCATGGTTTTGTAGTAGATGCAAGCTTCAACTGGAAGCCAGTTGAGTGTGCGGAGGAGCGGGGTGACATGAGAGATCTTGGGAAGGTCGAACACCAGACGGGCTGCAGCGTTCTGGATAAGTTGTAGGGGTTTAATGGCACAGGCAGGGAGCCCAGCCAACAGCGAGTTGCAGTAATCCAGACGGGAGATGACAAGTGCCTGGATTAGGACCTGTGCCGCTTTCTGTGTAAGGTAGGGTCATGAACCTGCTCATCGAACATCTCATTCCAAAATCATGGGCATTAATATGGAGTTGGTCCCCCCTTTGCTGCTATAACAGCCTCCACTCTTCTGGGAAGGCTTTCCACTAGATGTTGTCACATTGCTGTGGGGACTTGCTTCCATTCAGCCACAAGAGCATTAGTGAGGTCAGGCACTGATGTTGGGTGATTAGGCCTGGCTCGCAGTCGCCGTTCCAATTCATCCCAATTCATGTTCGATGGGGTTCTCCCACACCGATCTTTCAATTTCTGTATGGACCTCGCTTTGTGCACGGGGGCATTGTCATGCTGAAACAGGAAAGGGCCTTCCCCAAACTGTTGCCACAAAGTTGGAAGCACAGAATCGTCTAGAATGTCATTGTATGCTGTAGCGTTAAGATTTCCCTTCACTGGAACTAAGGGGCCTAGCCCGAACCATGAAAAACAGCCCCAGACCATTATTCCTTCTCCACCAAACTTTACAGTTGGCACTAAGCATACGGGCAGGTAGTGTTCTCCTGGTATCCGCCAAACCCAGATTCATCTGTTGGACTGCCAGATGGTGAAGCGTGATTCATTACTCCAGAGAACGCGTTTCCACTGCTCCAGAGTCCAATGGCGGCGAGCTTTACACCACTCCAGCCGACGCTTGGCATTGCGCATTGTGATCTTAGCCTTCTGTGCGGCTGCTCGGCCATGGAAACCCATTTCATGAAGCTCCCGACGAACAGTTATTGTGCTGATGTTGCTTCCAGAGGCAGTTTGGAACTCGGTATTGAGTGTTGCAACCGAGGACAGACTATTTTTACGCACTGCACGCTTCAGCACTCAGCGGTCCCGTTCTGTGAGCTTGTGTGGCCTACCACTTCACGGCTGAGCCATTGTTGCTCCTAGACGTTTCCACTTTACAATAACAGCACTTACAGTTGATCGGGGCAGCTCTAGTAGCGCAGAAATTTGACTAACTGACTTGTTGGAAAGGTGGCATCCTATGACGGTGCCACGTTGAAAATCACTGAGCTCTTCAGTAAGGCCATTCTACTGCCAATGTTTGTCTATGGAGATTGCATGACTGTGTGCTTAGTTTTATTCACCTGTCAGCAACGGGTGTAGCTGAAATAGCCAAATCCACTCATTTGAAAGGGTGTCCACACACTTTTGTATAAATAGTGTATCTACAATACAAAATTCATGTGTACGAGTGTGTGTGTTATCATGTGTATGTCTGTGCCTGTGTGTGTAAAAAGCAAGAACAGAATCATAAATTATAAAATATAGGCTCTCTCTCTCTACTGCAGCAGTCATGTTTGGATCTGTATGGGCCCTTCCGGACAAGTCAGTTAAAATTACACATACCTGAGACCCGTGACAATCATATCAGATCTGACACAGACCATTGACATTATTTAGAATTCTGGATCCGGACCCACTCAGGTCCCGGATCGGGTCTTGGGTATTCAGGTACAGGTGGATCAATGAAGACCTGTAGTGTATGTGTGTGTCTTCAACAAGAAGATAACTTGTGGTCTGATCTCTGTGGATGCGATTAAAAATGAGGACGTTCTGCCTCTCAGGCTCTGTTGTAATTCAGTATGGCTGGGTCTAGCCTGCTGTACTTCCTTCGCTGAAATAAAACCCCTCAAAGTCATCGGCTGAGTATGAAAATAGCATCTCTGCAGATACAGGCATACTGCAGAATAACAACCACTAGGGCTATTTGTGAGCCACTGTCATTCACACATTAAATAATCCCTCCTATGGGACCCATTGTAAGCAACAACATTATACAGTTCATGTAACTGAGTCAAACTGATGTAGGGAGTGAAACCTCATCCAAAGAATGTGCAGTCAGAGACGCACCCTTCAACAATAGGCCTATCTGAAGCTCTGACTTCTATTGTGACAGTATGATGGAGATGGATTATACAGTTACAAAACTGTATAAAACAGGGAGGGATCATGCTTGGTCTGTGTGTGTGTGTGTGTGTGTGTGTGTGTGTGTGTGTGTGTGTGTGTGTGTGTGTGTGTGTGTGTGCGTGTTTGTGTGTGCTGGGAGGTCAGTGTTGGTACCCTGCCAAGTCTACTCTGCAGTATACATTTCCCTATGGGATGCAGCTTAATGTGAAAGCGTATTCCAATGCAAAGTCGATTTTCTGTAACAAGGGGCAAAGACACATCCTTTAAGGACTGTGTAATTACATTCATATTGACCATCTCCTTCTCTCAAATCCATATCATGCATTAGAGACTGAACACAGCAAATTGTCTTTTAGATTCCTGGTAACAATCATGCCACCACATTGGTGTACCATAACCACTAGATTGTATGGTTTGGTTATTACCTTCTTGTAGTATGTGTGTTGGTTGTACAGCCTTGACTCTGTATTCTCTTGCGCTCCATCCCGGCCAGGGAGATTGGACTATCTCTCTGTCGGACAGCCAAGTGACGGTCTCGAAGTTGTCTCCGTTGGCCAGCGCATCGACCTCTGCACTGTGGATCCCGACCTGTTCGAACTGATGCAGACCACCTGAGTGGTCGAAGTGGGCGTGGGTGGCGATCGCCAAAAGGGGGTTCTTTCGCTGCGGGTCGTCTCCAAGCAGACCTTTGGTGTTAATGTAATCAGGTAAACTCCTCAACCCCAAGCCTGTGTCTATCACAACATCTTGGTGAGATCCTCGAAGGAGCCAAATATTTGCTCTGTTTGACGATTCGAAAAACTTCTCCTGGATCCAGTACAGACCTTCTCCGAGGGATTTGTGCGCGTACCAGTCTGTTGCAGACATCCCAGTTCATGCACTTGGAGTAATAATCAAATATGTTATGCCGTCAATTTTGTTGGTACACACAGGTACTATAATGTCACTGTATTTACGCAAAAATAATGGTGGCCGCCGGATACACCCTTGTGGGAGGAACGCATGTTAACTGGACGAATAGAATGTGAACCCAAACACTATTGGTCAGCAAAGAACACACCTACCATGTCGTCATATAAACCATGCCCATGAATGCATCGCTATAAAGTATCAGATGTGTGCAGAGGAGAACGGGATGAGAAGTAAAATAGACTGGCTAGATAAAGTTAGCAACAATGTTAACATTACACAACCAAGCTAAACTTTGCTAGCTAACGTCAGCTAGCTAGCTAACTTAGCCAGCTGCCACCTGGTTAACAACGTCAGCTAGCTAACTTTGTTAGGCTATATGTTGTATCACAAATCTTTAGACATTATTCTTTCAGCACTTTGTTGATGGGAAACCAAGTCTTCAGTACCCAAATCATGCTGCTGCTGCTGGAGGAGATGCAGTCATACGATGCAGGCCACCTCCCCCCAAAACAGACTGTAAAATGAGGTTTAACCAAACCTAGCCTACATTACCAAATGTTGACAGACGCTCAGGGGCACATTTCATACGTGTATCCTTTATATGGAGGCTTTGAACATAAATGTAACTCTGCCACCCAGGAACATTCACTGTCTTCTTGGTAAGCAACTCCAGTGGATACTTGTGTTTTAGTTATTGTCCTGCTGAATGGTAAATTTGTCTCCAAGTGTCTGTTGGAAAGCAGACTGAACCAGGTTTTCCCATAGGATTTTGCCTGTGCTTAGCTTTATTCTGTTTATTTTTATCAAGAAGAAGAAGGCTGCAAAGCTGCAATGTCTGTGTACGCTATCCCTGATGCAGTGAAACAAATGAAAAAAATGAAGAAAGCTTTATGCTACATCTTTTTGAGTGAGGACCCATTAAACAAAAGGTGTATCATAAACTCCTCAGTCCTTGCCGGTGAGAAGCATTCCCATAATATGATGCAGCCACCACCATGCTTGAAAATATGAAGAGTGGTTCTCAGTAATGTGTTGTTGGATTTGCCCCAAACATACTGCTTCGTATTATTATTTTACCTTTATTTAACTAGGCAAGTCAGTTAAGAACAAATTCTTATTTACAATGATGGCCTACACCGGCCAAACCTGGACGACGCTGGGCCAATTGTGCGCCACCCTATGGGACTCCTAATCACGGCCGGTTGTGATACAGCCTGGAATCGAACCAGGGTCTGTAGTGACACCTCTAGCACTGAGATGCAGTGCCTTAGACCGCTGCACCACTCGGGAGCAAGTGGACATAAAGTTATTTTCTTTGCAGTTTTACTTTAGTGCCTTATTGCAAACAGGATGCATGTTTTGGAATATTTGTATTCTGTACAGGCTTCCTTCTTTTCACTCATTTAAATTAGTATTGTGGAGTAACTACAATGTTGATCCATCCTCAGTTTTCCCCTATCACAGCCATTCATCCCTGAGCGGTTTCCTTCCTCTCCGGTATCTGAGTTAGGAAGGACGCCTGTATCTTCGTAGTGACTGGATGTTTTGATAAACCATCCAAAGTGTAATTAATAACTTCACCATGTTCAAAGGGATATTTAATGTCAGCTTTTTTTTACCAATAGGTGGACTTCTTTGAGAGGCACTGGAAAACCTCCATGGACTTTGTGGTTGAATCTGTTTGAAATATACTGCTCGACTGAGGGACCTTACAGATTTGACCCCTTAGGTAGTCATGCAACTTATTATGTGACTTGTTAAGCACATTTTTACTCCTGAACTTATTTGGGCTTTCCATAACAAAGGTGTTGAATACTTATTGACTCAAGACATTTCAGCTTTTCATTTTTAATTAATTTGTCAAAATTTCAAAAAACATAATTCCACTTTGACATTATGGGTTATTGTGTGTAGGCCAGTGACCAAAAATGTCTTAAATTCAGGCTGTTACACAACAAAATGTGGAAAAAGTCAAGGAGTGTGAATACTTTCGGAAGACACTGTACATCTGGGGTGGACTCTGTCTCTGAAGCAGGTAACTCCTGAGGACCTGCAGGGGCTGGTGACATGACATGTCCCTGCCCGGTATCAGTCGCAGCCGTGCCCAACGATGAACACTCACACCCTAATATCACAGTCGTTGCCGGAGCTGAAGAGGACCAGAGTAAGCCCGGAATCTGGTCTGCTGTTACAAGATGCAAAGAAGACTGTATATTCTGCTCCATACGAGCCATACATGCTTCCTGTACTCCACCGGAAAGGGACGAATGCAGCGATGTGACTCCCTGGTAGTCCACACATTGGGGTGTCACTGCAGCCCCACCTGGTGCTGAGTAGTATCCCACAGGTGGAGGAGAGGGGCCATAGAGTCCATGCTGCACCGTCGGCAGATGTGGGGCTCCCATAGTCTCCAGAGAGGGGATATTATCCACATGGTAGTAGTCCACTGGATACCCCGGAGCCAGTTGGTAGAGAAAGGTTGTGGGTTCGATTCCCACGGGGGACCAGTACGAAAGAAAAAGTATGAATGTATGCACTCACTACTGTAAGTCGCTCTGGATAAGAGTGTCTGCTAAATGACTAGAAGGTAAAAATGTAATACTCCACTGGACCGGAGGTGGGCAGTGTGGAAAGTATCCTGTGGGCCGCCATACTGTAGTGGTGTCAGCAGAGTCACAAATCCGGCGAGACAAAGGACCATGAAAGAGAGCAACCTATACAGCTACTATGTAGCAACCTATACAGCTACTATGTAGCAACCTATACAGCTACTATGTAGCAACCTATACAGCTACTATGTAGCAACCTATGCGAAGAGAGCAACATAAACAACAACACACACAGTGGAAATTAGTCCCACAGCGCCCTCAGCAGGGGGATTCTGTGTTGCACATCCGGCTCGAAGGACCATGAAAGAGAGCAACCCGGCTCTAAGTATTTGCTGACCTGTGACCCACTGACACCACCGCTTACTTTGTTTATGCATCCTATGAACACACATTCACCCATTTTTGTCAGACTGGAAAAACACAGTTCAGGCCTTGCTAATACTTATACTTATACAGGCTTGAGTTGGCTTCCTTGATCACGCAGGTCGCCAGCCTAAGTAGGAAACGGGGGAAAACGCAGAGTGGAATGTTAAAATGTTCTATGCCGGTGGCTGGACGGCGTTCGCACTTGTTGGATGCATCTCCGCCTTGTCGTTTGTCGTTATCCGACTGGCCGGTGTTGCCCGGAGCTCCCCCATCTGATAGCGGAGTCGAAGGAGCACAGCAAGAGGAGCAAGGCAATCAACGATGGTCGCATGTCACGAGCCGTGGAAGCCGAAGACAGCAGCCTCCCACAAAGCAGTCTACACTCCCAACGAGAGGCCCGGAGCGGATACAAACAACGAATAGTTTTGCCGTCCTGGAGCCTGATCTTCCTGCACCTTCGTCGCTGGGGGTGCCTGTGGCCGCAGTGCCTACTACTACGATTTCGAAGTCGACGTTGGCAACCTTCCGTCCCTGCTCTGGATCGAGTGGGGCTTCTCCATCTTCCGGAGGCCTGCACCAGGCGCTGGGAGCAACGGGCTCAAGTTATCCTGCCTCTCGCCCGTCCATAAAGGGTTCTCCGAATCCTGTGAAATGTGGGTGTGGGAGGATTTCCTCGTCCTTCTCGCCAGCTGTGATTTAAGTATGCTCCCTCTAATTCTCTCTCTCTCCCTCCCCTCCCAGAGGTCCTGAGCCCTAGGACCATGCCTCAGGACTACCTGGCCTGATGACTTCTTGCTGTCCCCAGTCCACCTGGTCGTGCTGCTGCTCCAGTTTCAACTCTTCTGCCTGCGGCTATGGAACCCTGACCTGTTCACCGGACGTGCTACCTTGTCCCAGACCTGCTGTTTTCAACTCTCTCTCTCTACCGCACCTGCTATTTCAACCTCTTAATGCCCGGGTATGAAAAGCCAAGTGACATTTACTCCTGATGTACTGACCTGTTGCAACCTCTACAACCACTGTGATTATAATTTGACCCTGCTGGCTAGGGTCAGTCTGTTATATCTGGTGTTATTCTCCTGTCTTATCCGGTGGCCTGTGTGAATTTAAGTATGCAACCTCTACAACCACTGTGTACTATTATTTGACACTGCTGGTCATCTATGAAGGTTTGAACATCTTGGAGAAAAATCTGGCCTTAATGGCCATGTACATTGCTTGCTGTTTGGGGTTTTAGGCTGGGTTTCTGTATAGCACATGACATTCATATTCTGACTATCTCTGAAACTCACTTAGATAATACCTTTGATGATACAGTGGTAGCAATACAAGGTTATAACATTTACAGAAAATATAGAAATGCCAATGGTTGAGGTGTTGCTGTTTATATTCAGAACCACATTCCTGTAAAGATTAGAGAGGATCTCATGTTAAATACTGTTGAAGTAATATGGCTACAGATGAATCCGCCTCTCCTAAAGCCCATTCTGGTGGGAAGCTGCTATAGACCACCAAGTGCTAACAGTCAGCATCTGGATAACGCTGACACTACACATCCAAGTATATCTGACCAAATTATGAAAGACAAGCATTGTTATTTTGAATTCCGTAGCACTGTGCGTTTGGAAGAGGTGAAAAAAAGGATTGTTGTCTATCAACAATTTACATTTTAGTAGACGCTCTTATCCAGAGCGACTTACAGGAGCAATTAGGGTTAAGTGCCTTGCTCAAGGGCACATCGACAGATTTTTCACCTAATCGGCTCGGGGATTAGAACCAGCGACCTTTCGGTTACTGGCACAACGCTCTTAACCACTAAGCTACCTGCCGCCCCCACAATGACAAGCCACCGGGGTCTGACAACTTGGATGGAAAATTACTGAGGATAATAGCGGATGATATTGCCACTCCTATTTCCCATATTTTCAATTTAAGCCTACTAGAAAGAGTGTGCCCTCAGGCTTGAAGGGAAGCAAAACTCATTCCGCTACCTAAGAATATTAAAGCCCCCTTTTACTGGCACAAATAGCCGACCAATCAGCCTGTTACTAACCCTTAGTAAACTTTTGGGAAAAATTGTGTTTGACCACATAAAATGCTATTTTACAGTAAACAAATTGACAACAGACTTTCAGCACGCTTATAGGGAAGGACATTCATCAAGCACAGCACTTACACAAATGACTGATGATTGACTGAGAGAAATTGATGATAAGATTGTGGGGGCTGTTTTGTTAGACTTCAGTGCGGCTTTTGATAGAAAAACATATGTGTTATGGCTTTACACCCCCTGCTATATTGTGGATAAAGAGTTACCTGTCTAACAGAACACAGAGGGTGTTCTTTAATGTAAGCCTCTCCAACACAATCTGGAGGTGATCGATATCTCTCACGTGAGGGGTGAGCTAGACTACTCGACGCCAGTCAGACATAAACAACAACACACACACTGGAAATTAGTCCCACAGCGCCCTTGGCAGGGGGATTCTGTAACACTGTTAAAAATACGGTTTGTGGTTCTCTGTAACTGCCGGATGGCTCATGATGAGAGGCAGGCTGTGTGTTGTGTACCTCCAAGTTGATTTGCGAATTTACATCGACGACCGGCACGACTATAATATATAAATCATTGGATACAATTCATCGTTGGAGTGGTTATGTGGTAATTAGGTCCTATATTTAACTTCATGACATTACACTATTTGATTAAGCCACACATGAACCGACACAGAACACGTTATTCTAGTTCAAAAGAAAGAAAAGAACAAACATGCACCAAACAAACATTCAGTAAATTCACACCATAGGCTGACTGTGATGCAGCTGTCAGTCAATTAAATGTTGTGTGTGTGTGCGCACGTACACTTGTGTGTAAGCCTTGTGTGTTTGTGTGAGAGAGTGAGACGTTAACCTACAGTTGAAGTCGGAAGTTTACATACACCTTAGCCAAATACATTTATTTTTCCACAATTCCTGACATTTAATCCTAGTACACAATTCCCTGTCTTAGGTCAGTTAGGATCACCACTTTATTTTAAGAATGTGAAATGTCAGAATAATAGTAGTAATTTATTTCATCTTTTATTTCTTTCATCACATTCCCAGTGGGTCAGAAGTTTACATATACTCAATTAGTATTTGGTAGCATTGCCTTTAAATTGTTTAACTTGGGTCAAACGTTTCGGGTAGCCTTCCACAAGCTTCCCACAATAAGTTGTGTGAATTTTGGCCCATTCCTCCAGACAGAGCTGGTGTAACTGAGTCAGGTTTGTAGGCCTCCTTGCTCGCACACGCTTTTTCAGTTTTGCCCACACATTGTCTATAGGATTGAGGTCAGGGCTTTGTGATGGCCACTCCAATACCCTCTGTGTTGTTGTTTTTATCGCACTGCTTTGCTTTATCTTGGCCAGGTCGCAGTTGTAAATGAGAACTTGTTCTCAACTGACTTACCTGGTTAAATAAAGGTGAAATAAAAATAAAATAAATAAACTTTGTTGTCTTTAAGCCATTTTGCCACAACTTTCGAAGTATGCTTGGGGTCATTGTCCATTTGGAAGACCCATTTGCGACCAAGCTTTAACTTCCTGACTGATGTCTTGAGATGTTGCTTCAATATATCCACGTAATTTTCCTTCCTCATGATGCAATCTATTTTGTAGGCCCTCCTGCAGCAAAGCACCCCCACAGCATGATGCTGCCACCCACGTGCTTCTCGGTTGGGATGGTGTTCTTCGGCTAGCAAGCCGCCCCCATTTCCTCCAAACATAACGATGGTCATTATGGCCAAACAGTTCTATTTCTCCAAAAAGTACGATCTTCGTCCCCATGTGCAGTTGCAAACCGTAGTCTGGCTTTTTTATGGCGGTTTTGGAGCAGTGGATTCTTCCTTGCTGAGCGGCCTTTCAGGTTATGTCGATATAGGACTCGTTTTACTGTGGATATAGATACATTTGTACCTGCTTCCTCCAGCATCTTCACAAGGTCCTTTGCTGTTGTTCTGGGATTGATTTGCACTTTTCGCACCAAAGTACATTCATCTCTAGGAGACCCACTGGAATTCTGATACAATTATAAGTTAAATAATCTGTCTGTAAACAATTGTTGGAAAAAATTACTTGTGTCATGCACAAAGTAGATGTCCTAACCGACTTGCCAAAACTATAGTGTGTTAACAAGAAATGTGTGGAGTGGTTGAAAAACGAGTTTTAATGACTCCAACCTAAGTGTATGTAAACTTCCGACTTCAACTGTATATTACAGAGGACATAGTGTTGCTATCAGGGGTTCAGGAGTAGCTCCCTCAGTATTGCAGACATGGCAGGTGGTGAAGGCTGTAGGATAGCTGCCTTCAGCTTCAACATCGAATCCCTGGGCCTCAGCAGGGGGAATATGCCCAGGGATTAATTTGAGCACCTCTCCGTTTTGGACTGTTTCGTTTCGGAACCTATTTGGCTGGATCCAGTACCTCTCGTGGCATGAAAAATAATAGTCACTTTTTTCAATGTAAAAATTATAATAAAAGCGATCAAAGTTTGTTCAAGTTGCCTCTTTGTTACGTTTTGTGAAAAAGTAGATTTTTTATCCCAGGCCTGATATTCTAAGAGTTGATTCGGGTTGGGTGGGCCTGGTTTATGGTTTGCGTAACATTGTAACCTATGTTTGAGACCAACGCGTGGCCATGGCTGTGTGAGAAGCCTGTATCTCTCACAGAACTAGAATGAGATTCACTTTCTATGATCTCTCTCCCTCTCTCTGCTCTGATAGACATGAGCCTGCAACTCTCATCTCTCCAGCATTACACTTCATCATTTATTTATAGGCCAGCAGCATACCACCCTGCATCCCACTGCTGGCTTGCCTCTGAAGCTAAGCAGAGTTGGTCCTGGTCGGTCCCTAGATGGGAGACCAGATGCTGCTGGATGTGGTGTTGGAGGGCCAGTAGGAGGCACTCTTTCCTCTGGTCTAAAAAAACAATATCCCAATGCCCCAGGGCAGTGATTGGAGACATTGCCCTGTGTAGGGTGCTGTCTTTCGGATGGGACGATACATGGGTGTCCTGACTCTCTGTGGTCACAAAAGATCCCATGGCACTTATTGTAAGAGTAGGGGTGTTAACCCCGGTGTCCTGGCTAAATTCCCAATCTGGCCCTCATACCATCATGACGACCTAATCATCCCTAGCTTCCAATTGGCTAATTCATCCCCCTCCTCCCCTGTAACTATTCCCCTAATAATATAGAATCATAGTGAAGGGTTCTGGAGGAGCTGCAGCACCCCTGATTAATTGAAATACATTTTCCAAAGTTATATAATAACGTCTATCTGTTCAGAAAAAAATGAAATAATTCAGAATAGCCTACTACACCATGTAAATGGCCATAATTTAGCCACATAGGACCAATAGCTTATTTCTTTTTTTAATTGCCTAGCTGTGGATTGTGTGTAGCCCAATAACAAGGCATAGCCTACAGTCGGGAACGTGCGTCAAATCTGTCAGTGAACAGCATGCAGACAGAACAGGCCTGATGGCGTGGGGGTGCTTTGCTGGTGACACTGTCTGTGATTTATTTAGAATTCAAGGCACACTTTACCAGCATGGCTACCACAGCATTCTGCAGCGATATGCCATCACATCTGGTTTGGGCTTAGTGGGACTATCATTTGTTTTTCAACAGGACAATGACCCAACACACCTCCAGGCTGTGTAAGGGTTATTTTTACCAAGAAGGAGAGTGATGGAGTGCTGCATCAGATGACCTGGCCTCCACATCCCCGACTTCAACCCAATTGAGATGGTTTGGGATGAGTAGGACGGCAGAGTGAAGGAAAAGCAGCCAATAAGTGCTCAGCATATGTGGGAACTCCTCCAAGACTGTTGGAAAAGCATTCCAGGTGAAGCTGGTTGAGAGAATGCCAAGAGTGTGCAAAGCTGTCATCAAGGCAAAGGGTGGCTATTTGAAAAATCTCAAATATAAAATATATTTTGATTTGTTTAACACTTTTTTGGTTACTACATGAATGAGTAGGTGTGTTCAAACTTTTGACTGGTACTGTAGATATATATATATATACACTGCTCAAAAAAATAAAGGGAACACTTAAACAACACAATGTAACTCCAAGTCAATCACACTTCTGTGAAATCAAACTGTCCACTTAGGAAGCAACACTGATTGACAATACACTTCACATGCTGTTGTGCAAATGGAATAGACAACCAGGCAATTAGCAAGACACCCCCAATAAAGGACTGGTTTTGCAGGTGGTGACCACAGACCACTTCTCAGTTCCTATGCTTCCTGGCTGATGTTTTGGTCACTTTTGAATGCTGGCGGTGCTTTCACTCTAGGGGTAGCATGAGACGGAGTCTACAACCCACACAAGTGGCTCAGGTAGTGCAGCTCATCCAGGATGGCACATCAATGCGAGCTGTGGTTAGAAGGTTTGCTGTGTCTGTCAGAGTAGTGTCCAGAGCATGGAGGCGCTACCAGGAGACAGGCCAGTACATCAGGAGACGTGGAGGAGGCCGTAGGAGGGCAACAACCCAGCAGCAGGACTGCTACCTCCGCCTTTGTGCAAGGAGGAGTAGGAGGAGCACTGCCAGAGCCCTGCAAAATGACCTCCAGCAGGCCACAAATGTGCATGTGTCTGCTCAAACGGTCAGAAACAGACTCCATGAGGGTGGTATGAGGGCCCGATGTCCACAGGTGGGGGTTGTGCTTACAGCCCAACACCGTGCAGGACGTTTGGCATTTGCCAGAGAACACCAAGATTGGCAAATTCGCCACTGGCGCCCTGTGCTCTTCACAGATGAAAGCAGATTCACACTGAGCACATGTGACAGACGTGACAGAGTCTGGAGACGCCGTGGAGAACGTTCTGCTGCCTGCAACATCCTCCAGCATGACCGGTTTGGCGGTGGGTCAGTCATGTGTGGGGTGGCATTTCTTTGGGGGGCCGCACAGCCCTCCATGTGCACGCCAGAGGTAGCCTGACTGCCATTAGGTACCGAGATGAGATCCTCAGACCCCTTGTGAGACCATATGCTGGTGCGGTTGGCCCTGGGTTCCTCCTAATGCAAGACAATGCTAGACCTCATGTGGCTGGAGTGTGTCAGCAGTTCCTGCAAGAGGAAGGCATTGATGCTATGGACTGGCCCGCCCGTTCCCCAGACCTGAATCCAATTGAGCACATCTGGGACATCATGTCTCGCTCCATCCACCAATGCCACGTTGCACCACAGACTGTCCAGGAGTTGGCGGATGCTTTAGTCCAGGTCTGGGAGGAGATCCCTCAGGAGACCATCCGCCACCTCATCAGGAGCATGCCCAGGCATTGTAGGGAGGTCATACAGGCACGTGGAGGCCACACACACTACTGAGCCTCATTTTGACTTGTTTTAAGGACATTACATCAAAGTTGGATCAGCCTGTAGTGTGGTTTTCCACTTTAATTTTGAGGGTGACTCCAAATCCAGACCTCCATGGGTTGATACAGTGGGGGAAAAAAGTATTTAGTCAGCCACCAATTGTGCAAGTTCTCCCACTTAAAAAGATGAGAGAGGCCTGTAATTTTCATCATAGGTACACGTCAACTATGACAGACAAATTGAGATTTTTTTTCTCCAGAAAATCACATTGTAGGATTTTTAATGAATTTATTTGCAAATTATGGTGGAAAATAAGTATTTGGTCACCTACTAACAAGCAAGATTTCTGGCTCTCACAGACCTGTAACTTCTTCTTTAAGAGGCTCCTCTGTCCTCCACTCGTTACCTGTATTAATGGCACCTGTTTGAACTTGTTATCAGTATAAAAGACACCTGTCCGCAACCTCAAACAGTCACACTCCAAACTCCACTATGGCCAAGACCAAAGAGCTGTCAAAGGACACCAGAAACAAAATTGTAGACCTGCACCAGGCTGGGAAGACTGAATCTGCAATAGGTAAGCAGCTTGGTTTGAAGAAATCAACAGTGGGAGCAATTATTAGGAAATGGAAGACATACAAGACCACTGATAATCTCCCTCGATCTGGGGCTCCACGCAAGATCTCACCCCGTGGGGTCAAAATGATCACAAGAACGGTGAGCAAAAATCCCAGAACCACACGGGGGGACCTAGTGAATGACCTGCAGAGAGCTGGGACCAAAGTAACAAAGCCTACCATCAGTAACACACTACGCCGCCAGGGACTCAAATCCTGCAGTGCCAGACGTGTCCCCCTGCTTAAGCCAGTACATGTCCAGGCCCATCTGAAGTTTGCTAGAGTGCATTTGGATGATCCAGAAGAGGATTGGGAGAATGTCATATGGTCAGATGAAACCAAAATATAACTTTTTGGTAAAAACTCAACTCGTCGTGTTTGGAGGATAAAGAATGCTGAGTTGCATCCAAAGAACACCATACCTACTGTGAAGCATGGGGGTGGAAACATCATGCTTTGGGGCTGTTTTTCTGCAAAGGGACCAGGACGACTGATCCGTGTAAAGGAAAGAATGAATGGGGCCATGTATTGTGAGATTTTGAGTGAAAACCTCCTTCCATCAGCAAGGGCATTGAAGATGAAACGTGGCTGGGTCTTTCAGCATGACAATGATCCCAAACACACCGCCCGGGCAACGAAGGAGTGGCTTCGTAAGAAGCATTTCAAGGTCCTGGAGTGGCCTAGCCAGTCTCCAGATCTCAACCCCATAGAAAATCTTTGGAGGGAGTTGAAAGTCTGTGTTGCCCAGCGACAGCCCCAAAACATCACTGCTCTAGAGGAGATCTGCATGGAGGAATGGGACAAAATACCAGCAACAGTGTGTGACAACCTTGTGAAGACTTACAGAAAACGTTTGACCTGTGTCATTGCCAACAAAGGGTATATAACAAAGTATTGAGAAACTTTTGTTATTGACCAAATACTTATTTTCCACCATAATTTGCAAATAAATTCATTAAAAATCCTACAATGTGATTTTCTGGATTTCTTTTCTCATTTTATCTGTCATAGTTGACGTGTACCTATGATGAAAATTACAGGCCTCTCTCATCTTTTTAAGTGGGAGAACTTGCACAATTGGTGGCTGACTAAATACTTTTTTTCCCCACTGTACATTTGATTTCCAATGATAATTTGTGTGATTTTGTTGTCAGCACATTCAACTATGTAAAGAAAAAAGTATTTAATAAGATTATTTCATTCATTCAGATCTAGGATGTGTTATTTTAGTGTTCCCTTTATTTTTTTGAGCAGTGTATATATATATATTTAATATTTAATTTAATTTAATATGCCATTTAGCAGACGCTTTTATCCAAAGCGACTTACAGTCGTGCGTGAATACATTTTTGTGTATGGGTGGTCCCGGGGATCGAACCCACTACCTTGGCGTTACAAGCGCCGTGCTCTACCAGCTGAGCTACATTATTTTTGAATTCCGGTATGCTCCCCAGGTCACCCCCCTCTCGCGCTCACTTTTTGTTCCGGCACCTTCCGATTTAGAAATTAAGCACTGAACATGCTTCAGACTAGAATGGGGCCCCTGTGAGTACTATACAGACTGTGCATTTACCAGGGGTATATTCATTAGTCGGAATCCATTGCAAAACGTTTTGCAACGAAAACTATTTTCTATTGGACAAATTCAGATAGGTCCCTCCCTGTTTAGTTTAGTTTGCTCCCGTTTGGTTCCTAGAGTAAACGGTAAACAGTTTCCGTTACAAAATGTTTTGCAACAGACCAAACATTTTCCAACAGTCTGCGACCTAATGAATACATCCCAGGTTTATGGATGCTTTTGTCTCCATTTCATGGATCAGTAAGAGACTGTCTTGGGAAGAATGGGCTTGTAGTACGGCCGTAGTTTCACTGATGAAAAGTTATGAAATACCTTGTTTACTATAAGTACAACCTCTACTGCTTCTGGGTGGATTAATTATTTTCCCCATTCATGATGTGGAGTTCAAGCCTGTGCCACTGAAAGCCGGAGAAGATGAGGACTACATGTTGGCCCTGAAACAGGAGATGAGGGGAACCATGAGTCGACTACCCAACAACATCAGGCCTCTGGCTAGGAAAGGAGGTGAGAGTGCATTACCAGCAATAGTCAGTGTACAGTATGTCATCATCCCTTAAGACAATAGCATGAGGTGAGTTACTGCTACACTCAGGAACTGGAGCCATTTAATCATATCCTATCTGGAGACAGAGAGGCAGATCTAGGAGAGACTATTGCGTTAGAAATCCCTGGCCTGACTAAGTTTGCATTTAGAGCACATTCTCTTCTGGGGTAAAATGGTGTATCCGTATCAAGTGTAGCCTTTTTGTAGCTTCTTGATATAGAAGGATAACTAATTTATCTGGAGCTTTGAGTTGTCCAATGTCTTTGGTAAGTTCACTTGGTCATATGCTCAATGTACTACAGGAGAAAGCGGTATTTAAGAAAGCGATTTTTAAAGATGATTCAAAACGTGCTTGCTGACTAAATTGAGCATTTTGTGTCTGTTTGTGTGAGCATGCATAACCTTTACTGTTTACAGTGGGGAGAACAAGTATTTGATACACTGCCGATTTTGCAGGTTTTCCTACTTACAAAGCATGTAGATGTCTGTAATTTTTTATCATAGGTACACTTCAACTGTGAGAGACGGAATCTAAAACAAAAATCAGGAGAATCACATTGTATGATTTTTAAGTAATTCATTTGCATTTTATTGCATGACATAAGTATTTGATACATCAGAAAAGCAGAACTTAATATTTGGTACAGAAACCTTTGTTTGCAATTACAGAGATCATACGTTTCCTGTAGGTCTTGACCAGGTTTGCACACACTGCAGCAGGGATTTTGGCCCACTCCTCCATACAGACCTTCTCCAGATCCTTCAGGTTTCGGGGCTGTCGCTGGGCAATACGGACTTCAGCTCCCTCCAAAGATTTTCTATTGGGTTCAGGTCTGGAGACTGGCTAGGCCACTCCAGGACCTTGAGATGCTTCTTACGGAGCCACTCCTTAGTTGCCCTGGCTGTGGGTTTCGGGTCGTTGTCATGCTGGAAGACCCAGCCATGACCCATCTTCAATGCTCTTACTGAGGGAAGGAGGTTGTTGGCCAAGATCTCGCGATACATGGCCCCATCCATCCTCCCCTCAATACGGTGCAGTCGTCCTGTCCCCTTTGCAGAAAAGCATCCCCAAAGAATGATGTTTCCACCTCCATGCTTCACGGTTGGGATGGTGTTCTTGGGGTTGTACTCATCCTTCTTCTTCCTCCAAACACGGCGAGTGGAGTTTAGACCAAAAAGCTCTATTTTTGTCTCATCAGACCACATGACCTTCTCCCATTCCTCCTCTGGATCATCCAGATGGTCATTGGCAAACTTCAGACGGGCCTGGACATGCGCTGGCTTGAGCAGGGGGACCTTGCGTGCGCTGCAGGATTTTAATTAATGACGGCGTAGTGTGTTACTAATGGTTTTCTTTGAGACTGTGGTCCCAGCTCTCTTCAGGTCATTGACCAGGTCCTGCCGTGTAGTTCTGGGCTGATCCCTCACCTTCCTCATGATCATTGATGCCCCACGAGGTGAGATCTTGCATGGAGCCCCAGACCGAGGGTGATTGACTGTCATCTTGAACTTCTTCCATTTTCTAATAATTGCGCCAACAGTTGTTGCCTTCTCACCAAGCTGCTTGCCTATTGTCCTGTAGCCCATCCCAGCCTTGTGCAGGTCTACAATTTTATCCCTGATGTCCTTACACAGCTCTCTGGTCTTGGCCATTGTGGAGAGGTTGGAGTCTGTTTGATTGAGTGTGTGGACAGGTGTCTTTTATACAGGTAACGAGTTCAAACAGGTGCAGTTAATACAGGTAATGAGTGGAGAACAGGAGGGCTTCTTAAAGAAGAACTAACAGGTCTGTGAGAGCCGGAATTCTTACTGGTTGGTAGGTGATCAAATACTTATGTCACGCAATAAAATGCAAATTAATTACTTAAAAATCATACAATGTGATTTTCTGGATTTTTGTTTTAGATTCTGTCTCTCACAGTTGAAGTGTACCTATGATAAAAATTACAGACCTCTACATGCTTTGTAAGTAGGAAAACCTGCAAAATCGGCAGTGTATCAAATACTTGTTCTCCCCACTGTACATATCAAATAGATGTGGAAAGATACAAGGAGAGGTATCAGAGACAAAACATGTTGGCTGAGGAGTGGATACCAGGTAAATGGTCAATTTGGTCATCAGATTACCAAAACCTGAGTTTGATTTCCAACATTTTTTTTTCAAGATAACTTCTGTTTGGCATTACAGGCAGCTCTTTCCAAAAAAACTGATGCCTCAAAAGAAAAAGTTGAACTTAAAACTGGGTACTATAGTTTTTCATCACAGGTTTTTTGTTTTTTAACAACAATATGATATCATACTAATAGATATTTCCAAGTAAACATAATATTAGCATGTGCAAAGAAGAAACCCACAAAGGTATCAAGCAAAGAAAAAGCAGATGTGCTCAGTAAATTAGATGTCACTTTCATTCTTATTTAAATGTATTGATTAAACAAAGCTGTTTGTATGTCTGGATAATCTTACAATATGGCTGTTTCTTCAGGAACTTGAAAATAACAATGTAAAATCAGATGAAGAGAAGGAAGAATAAATGACAGAGGAAAGAGAGGAAGAAATTAAAGGAGAGGAGTTGGACCAGGAGGAATTAGAAGAGGTAACCCTCCCCCCTCGTAACAGAAAGCCCAATTTGATCTGATTCACCTTAGTCAACTTCTATCACACAATGTGTTGGATTTTTTTTATATATATATATATTTTTTTTGGGATAGAAGTTGGATATAAGTTGTTCGCCTGCGCACTTCCATACAATTACTGAATTTGGTATTGAGGCATCTCAGATGGTTTCTAGGGATGACAAATGACATGTATTTGTAATACCGGAAGATCACGATGCGTAATACGATGAATTGGATAGCTACTTATACATGCACGTAGCATTCACACACACCAATTAAGTTTAATGTAGGAAAATGACTACATTGCCAGATATTTTGAAGATGATGATTTTGGTGCAATGATGACATAGATGAAGCCACATATTAACCCCAGACTGCATGTTAATGGATTCTGGCTTAATGTAATTCTTCCAAATGTATGTTTTTCCTGCAAGTTATGGTTTATCTTTTACCAAAAAGCTGTTGGCTATATGACTAACACTGTCAGCAAGTTTACATATTTTGTTTGATGAACCTACATGAACAATGAGAGAATCATCAAGACGCGTGTGGCGGAACTGAGTTTGCATTTGAATAAGTATATCTTTTTTAATTATAAAACAAAGTAGATTTTTTTATTTTTAATGACCAACATGAAAACACAAGTCTGAGCATCAATAATTTATTCAAAATATACTTTATTTTCAGCCTGTAAGCCTGCGTTTACACAGGCAGCCCAATTCTGCAATTTTTCACTTATTGGACTTTTGACCAATCAGATCAGCTCTGAAAAAGAGCTGATGTGAAAAGATCTGTGATTGGTCAAAAGACCAATTAGTGGGGAAAAATATCAATTGGGATGTCTGTGTCTAAGCAGCCTTAGTGTTCCACAGGTTGAAGGCACATACTGTTCATAACACATTATGATTTCATCATATGAAATGGACATAGTGATGAGGAACTACAATATAACATTTCACTGGAATATACCTAGCTAGTGTTGGGCAACACTGTGCATTACCCGTTTCGTCACCCTTGCCCTTAGTAGAAACTGAGTCCAAATGCAGTTCTCCCCAGACAGGCAAAAATATTCAAGCAATGTTCCAAAAAAAAATTAGACAACAATTTTTAGACAACTTCAATACTGATATTGTAAATATTCCACAAATAATTACTTATTTTAAGTGATAAGTGGCAGAAATCAGTACTGTTTTGACCAAGAACAAACCCCACTTCAGACAGTGTTATGGTGGAAACAGTCCCATCAGCTGGCAAGAGGAACAAGAAGTTGGGTCCCACTGTGCAAAAACACTTGCTTTAAAAATGTCCACTGAAAGAATTCAACAGATTGTCCTCATTTTCCCCTCTCCATCATTTCCCAATGGATTCTGTTCCCCATAAAGTGATTCTCAGAGAGCTTTGAGAATCTCTTTTTTCATAATTGTTCAGATATCTCCCGCTCCTTCAGTTTGTCTCAATCCCTCACTACGTTTTCTCTTTCTTAGGGCCAGGGTGGTCATCCACCTCGTTGTGTCTCTGTGAGTCTGGTTTGGGTGCGTTTCCAGCCTGAGGTCCTGAGTTGGGCTTTCCATTGATTTCCACAGGCTCAGGCATCTGGGCATGCTGCATGCCCTTGGGATTGGTCGACGGTGTGGTGGTGGTGTGGTGGCTAACGTCCGCCTTCATCAGCACCTCGTAGTACAGCAGGTAGAACACTGGAGTGACGATGACAACCACCACCATTATGGCCACCGCCGTCCACCACCTCATGCCCCAGTCTGCCCCATGGTAGGGGTCCTTCCTGAGGACAGGCTTGAAGTCAGGCTCCCCCAGTAGCAAGGGCTGCTGGAGGGTCAGGGAGGAGACCACCTCGTTCAGGCTGATTCTGGAGGTGCCGGAGGACTTGACCAGGAGCTCGATGTCCTTGTCCTTCTCCTGCAGGAAGCTGCCCACGCTGTCTGTGGACGAGGAGTCGTCTGTGGAGATCTCTGTGGAGATGGGGGGCTGGGGGAAACGTCGGGGACCTGTGGGGGAGGCAGATTTGAGAGGCGTGGTGCTGTGGGTCTCTGTCAGCACGCTGAAGCGTTTCACAGGGATCTTGATGGATCTCAGCGCAAAGAAGTCCTGCTCTGTCAACAGGTTGTTGGCCCTCTTGATGTCCGCTACCTACGGTGCACAGACAAAACAAAGGATTTCACTTTACATGTGTAGCAAAAAAAAAAGTGGTGTGAGAAGTCTAAACTGGTCTGTCTGTAAGGGCCTTGTCATTAGAGAGTAAGACAGGGATTAGGGTTGACTTACTGAGCAGTGGTACTGCAGGGAGAAGCTATTCAGAGTGTCCCCTTCTTTGATGTCTCGGACCAGGTGGACAATGTCGTCCGACCTCTCCCTGGAGGTGCTCCTGCGCAGCCTGTCCCGGCCTCGGGAGCGCAGCTCGTAGCTCTCACCATCCTCCTCCGAGAGATCATTCTCAGAGCTGTTCCCAAATAGGTAGGCGTGTCCTCCATTGGCAGGCTGCACCGTCGTGGCCGACTGGAAACCATAGTGCGGGCTTCTCCCAGTCATTTTTCACTCTAAACAGAGGAGTGAGACATTGTACCTAATGTATGGGGTTGAGGTCAAGTTTCACCTGTTTGATACTTCTCAAAGGAATGTTCCAGATTAGCAAAGTATATGTCCAGGGAATATTGGCTTTACTGTCAACAGCTGTCTGTTCTTTCAATAAAGGAATAACCCATGTTTGTCAGGTTTCAGCTTTTTTGCCGACATTTACTGACATTGGCCATATTCAACGGATGTTGAGCGATCGTAAATTCATCAGTTATTCTGCGCTCTGGTACACTCAGACGAGAGTGATCTAAAATCGGAGTAGATAGCCAGAGTGAATTTACGAATGCACCCCATTTTCTGGTAGGGTAGCCATGACTTGAAAACCCGGGAAATCTAGCTAATTCGGGAGAAAGTTTTTATGCACTGATATTAGGAGCTGGCGGTTAAAAGTTTGATGAAACAATTCAGAGACAAAATAATAAATCAGATGACCTATATTTGAGGAGAGCGAATCGATATACAATCCCGAAATCAGTTGTAACTGTCAATAGTAAAACAAAGCTTAAAACGATGTTTAAGTGAACCCTTAATACAGAAAATGAATGAAATCGTTTCCGGACATGGTGGACTCCTCACACCACTAATTGCCATGCGAAAGAAGCAGACTAGCTAACGTTAATTCACTTTCACTAATAATTGATGCCAATTTATACAGAAGCACGGAGCTACCGCACTGGCTAATCGTAAACTAACACTCTATGCGGGAAAACAACTAGCTAGCTAGCGATTGTGTTCTCACGAAAAACTAACTTTAGATACACCTAAAACGCAAGCAACCAATCACTTTGTAACCCAACTGATTGAGGCAGCTGCCAAATACCTAGCTAGCCAGCTAAACTACTAGTTAGCTTGGCTGGCAAGCTAACGGAGCGCTAGCTAACCTTAGCTAGCTAGCATCTGTATCCAGTTTTCAGCTAACGTGCCTTTAGTTAGATAGCTATATATAGTACATTGACGATTATTGTTGCGTGGAAAGGTTCGTGTTACATTTAGCAAATTAAAAGTAATGAAGTACCAATACTTTACCTGAAAACATGAACAATGTTCCTTCGACGAACTAAGCCATTTCCATTCTTCCTCAGGCTACTACCAAATACATAATTGGCTACTACTAGCGAAACAAACGAACGCCACCAGTGTGTCGTGAGCAGCAATTGTGGAATCGGCAGTTCGCATTAAAAGTAAAGGTCCCCCATTGAAACTGATGCAAACGGATAAAAATTGTGAAAACATGCAACAATTCGACTAGATAATACTAAACAAGTTTGGAATGTTGTTATATAAATTCAACAAAATACAATTATTAGTTAATTAAAAATCCATTGAAATCGCACTGTGGATGTATTTGAATTCAGAATTGCATTGGGGGGCATACTTACAGTGCCTTCAGAAAGTATTCACACCCTGTGACTTTTTCCACATTTTGTTGTTAAAATGGATTATATTGAGATTTTGTCTCACTGGCCTACACACAATACCCCATAAAGTCAAAGTGGAATTATGTTTTTAGATTTTTTAAACTAATTAATAAAAAATGTCTTGAGTCAATAAGTATTCAACCCCTTTGTGATGGCAAGCCTTAATAAGGAGTAAACAAATGCTTAACAAGTCACATAATAAGTTGCATTTACTCACTCTGTGTGCAATAATAGTGTTTAACATGATTAACAACATTGCTGTTACTCCACAATACTAACCTAATTGACAGAGTGAAAAGAAGGAAGCCTGTACAGAATAAAACATATTCCAAAACATGCATCCTGTTTGCAATAAGGCACTAAATAAAGCACTTCAGTCTGCTTTCCAACAGACACTGGGAGACAAATTCACCTTTCAGCAGGACAATAACCTAAAACACAAGGCCAAATATACACTGGAGTTGCTTACCAAGAGGACATTGAATGTTCCTGAGTGGCCTAGTTACAGTTTTGACTTAAATCGTCTTGAAAATCTAAGACTTGAAAATGGCTGTCTAGCAATGATCAACAACCAAATCAACAGAACTTGAATAATACAAAATAAAAAAAGAATAATGTGCCAATATTGTACAAAGCTCTTAGAAACGTACCCAGAAAGGCTCACAGCTGTAATCGCTGCCAAAGGTGATTCTAACATGTTTTGACTCAGGGGTGTGAATACTTATGTAAATGAGATTTTTCTGTATTTCATTTTCAATACATTTGCTAAAATATATCAAAAAAACCTTTTCACTTTGCCATTATGGGGTATTGTGTGTAGATGGGTGAATTCAGGCTGTAACACAACAAAAAGTGGAATAAGTCAATGGGTATGAATACTTTCTGTAGGCACTGTATGTGCACTGTACAGCCAAACCTATGGATTGTGCATCCATGAAAGGAGGTATCAGCCTACTCAGTAACACTCATAGAACACAACTGTGAAGAGTTACACAAATATTATCGTCGTAGCTCTTATTGCGGGACTCTGAAGCCACTGTGAAATGAGCAAAATTAAGCTCACCAGTCAATCTATGTGTGTTAAACATTCATATCACAATATACAGCCTAACCTATGGATTGTGCACCCATGAAATAGGGTATCGGCCTACTCAGTGACACCCATAGAATACAACTAATTTTACACAAATATTAGCATCTTAGCTCTTATTGCAGGACTTTGACTGTGGGAAGTCACAGTGGTTTCAGAGTCCCGTAATAAGAGCTATGGTGTTAATATTGTGTGTAACTCTTCACAGTTGTGTTCTGTGAGTGTCACTGAGTAGGCTGATACTCCATTTCATGGGTGCACGTTCCTGGGGACCCCAAGGGGTGCACATTTAGATTTTTTGCCCTAGCACTACACAGCTGTTTAAAATAATCAAAGCTTGATGATGAGTTCATTATTTGAATCAGCTGTGTAGTGCTAGGGCAAAAAACAAAATGTGCACACCTTGGAGTCCAAGGACCGAATTTGAGAAACACTGGGTTAGGCTGTACAGTGCATATCATTATGCCCCCAATGCAATGCTGAATTCAAATACAGCCACAGTGCGATTTCAACTGATTTGTACTTTTTAATTTATTTTTTACTAATAACTGTCTTATTGTTTTCACTATTTTCCGTTTGCGTCAGTTTCAATGGGGGACTATTATTTTGAAGGCGAACCACCGATTCCACTAATGTTGCTCACGATAATGTTGTTCACAACACACACGTACGAACGCCAGTAAGCCACGTCAACAGAATACTAACGCGATGACGTATGTGGCTATTAACTCAAATTCTTGCACTGACCACTGGATGGCGCAAGTGCTGTTCCTTTATCAGAGGCCATATGGATAAGGGCCCAATAGGGGCCAAATGGCATAATTGAAAACTTTAATTGATAGGCCTATTCTTTTTGTTGTAGTATTTCTTATCTATGGTATTTCAAATGTCATACAAATGATAATTTTATAATGCGTGTCAATTGTGGACTAGGCTATAGGAACAACTAAGACGTTTCTTGGTGAATAATTAAAAAAGTCAATGATGCAAATTAGGCTACACATCAATATTGTAGTTTTGATCCGAAAACTTAATGGACACTGTTCTTTATGGTGTGGTGATGAACTTCAAGTCATTTTTATCATGCACATACCCACCTCTACTAGCTACTAGGCCTATCTAAATAACTGGGTATAAGAACAACGGTTCGCTGTGTGGAGCTGCCCGCTGCTACTGTCGACCTCCCTGAGGCAAATGCGATTAGCAAATCTTGTCTTCCCTCGACAAGTCCACACAGTAGTTTTGTTTAGGCACCAATGAAGCTGAATGACATGGCTGCGCAGCTTCTTTCTCCCAGCGAACCCTCGAGCAGTCAACTGGATTGAAAAAAAATTGCTTTATCTGGCTTTAATCTACCATGTTTTATCCACAGAGGAAATACCGTTAGTTTATTTCCCATAGTCCGCCCCGAGTGTGACGTGCTTTTTGTGTGGTTGTTCCCTGGGGGTAGCGACAGCTGTCAGGAACACCCCAAGAATTGGAGTAGGCTACGAGTATCAAGATGCATTCATTGACCAAGAATATCATCTGACAAAAACGTTCGGAGATTATTGATAGGAGTTATCCATGAAATCGTCAACAATAGCGGTATTTCTATAATTTATCCTGGACTGATAGCCAGCAAGGTGTCAGGTAAGTCTGGATACATTTAATAATTTCTTGAACAGGTGTTGGAACACATTATACAGCAAGTTGATTTGTGACAATCATTCGGCTAATAAAAAGTTTTTCCTGCAGGATTGTTGGCTTTATAGGCTTCACACGCACCTTTCATTATTTTGGGGCAATTCATTTTATAGAGTATTGCAGTGGCTCCAATTTATCCAGTTATGACATAACATTGTTTTTGTTTTGCCTAATAATAATCCGATATTCCAGAGGTATATGAAACCATAATAGACTATTAAGTGGAGGTTTGGAGATCTTTGTTTTGTGCTCCTCATTGTCCTCATCAGTTGCCAGACAGCTCATGCATATGACTTGTTTAACACTGTAAAAAAACAAACAATGAAAGTATTGAGACACTACTAATTAATTTATGCACAGTGCCAAAAATCCCCTCTGAGTGGCTAATATATTTGAAAAGCCTAAATATTGATTCAGTGAAATGACTAAATGAATGGCGGGGTAACCCATTGACTAATGAGACAAACGCTTCCATGGTTACTCTCTGGCTCTTCAGTGTGGTCACTGTGCTTTGTGTGTGACCTCTCTTTTCCATTGAAATAAAACCACAATCAGAGGGGAACCGCCACACATGGTGCTCATGAGCTGGGACCCGCTCATAAAGGCTGTGTAGACTAATCTTACACTCAGTCATAATCTTGGCTCACATTGAGTCAGGCATATGCAGGGCCGGCCCTAGCCTTTTAGGGGCCCTAAGCGAGATTTGGTTGTGGTAAAAAAAACTTTTGTGGCCCCCTTCTTGACAGCGGAGAGAAAAATATATTGTAAATTCTGCAATTCTACA